ATCCTTTCTCTTGTTTCAGGGATTTCTCCACTAATTCATTGTTTGGAGACATACCGTTTTCAATCTCTAAACTCAAACAGCTGGAGTTTCTGTATGTCATCTTGTCTTTCGCGCATTCGTGTGTTATCTTTGCCTGATTTGGCATTTTGTTTGCTAATTGTTTCATCCTCTTGCTAATGCAGGAACCTAAAGAATAATCAGCTCACTGGTCCAATACCAGCAACCTTAACTCAGATTCCAAACCTTAAGACCCTGTGAGTATCATTCTGATGCCATTCTATTTATGAGCCAAGTTATTTATTACAAAGTGATCATTTCAATGATAATAGTTTCTTCCCATGATTTTGCAGTGACCTTGCAAGAAATCAGCTAACTGGTGAGATTCCAAGGTTACTCTACTGGAATGAAGTTTTACAGTATCTGTAAGTATTTTATCTACTTACCTTAAGTTTCCGAGGCTTCCAGAGATTTATTTCTGATTGTGATGTATTCAATTTGCAGTGGTTTACGTGGGAATATGTTAACTGGGACATTGTCTCCTGATATGTGTCAGCTTACGGGTCTGTGGTACTTGTAAGTGAATCCGGTTCAGCTTCCTCTTGGTTTGACATTGCTCTTTTATCCTTCGATTTCGAGCAAGTTGTAAGTGTATGTTTATTGTTGTTAGTGATGTGAGAGGCAACAACCTAACTGGAAGTATCCCTGATAACATTGGCAACTGTACAAGCTTTGAAATCCTGTATGTACCTTCTTCTTAAGAAATGAATATTCTGCACCGAAATCGGTTGGACTTATTCGTCTTTTGCATATTCAGGGATGTATCTTATAATCAGATTACTGGAGTAATACCCTACAATATCGGTTTCCTCCAAGTTGCTACTCTGTAAGTATTGTTAAGACTCTCTAAATTCTTGTGTCGTTTGTTAAAGCATGTCATATGGTTAAGTGGTGACGGGTTCTCTTGCAGATCACTTCAAGGAAACAGGTTAACTGGTAGAATTCCAGAAGTGATTGGTCTGATGCAGGCTCTTGCTGTTTTGTATGTCATTTTCATAATCAAATGCTTGTTTTTTTTCCCTAGTCTCGTTTCTTGCTCCTCTGACTAAAAGTAAGAAACTTATCCAATGCCCAGGGATTTGAGTGACAATGAATTAACTGGGCCTATCCCACCAATACTTGGGAATCTCTCATTCACTGGAAAACTGTGAGTCCCTTGTTTTCTTCCCACTATGTGTCATGCATATGTTCAGATCTTCACATATACGGATAATGTCTTTTCTTGAAAATAGGTATCTCCATGGTAACAAGTTCACCGGACAAATTCCACCTGAGCTTGGCAATATGTCACGACTCAGCTATTTGTAAGATTGAAACTTGAAACTCCAATATCTATTCTTTTCAATACTTACTCTTATCTTATGAGGGTTCACCATTTCGCAGGCAACTAAATGATAATGAACTAGTGGGAAACATCCCACCTGAGCTTGGGAAGCTGGAACAATTGTTCGAACTGTAAGTTTTTATCCTCCAGTATGCTTAAATTTCTATCCTATTTGAATAGCTCCTTGATGTAACTCTACCATGTAGGAATCTCGCAAACAACTATCTTGTAGGGCCAATTCCATCTAACATTAGTTCCTGTGCCGCCTTGAATCAATTGTAAGATCTGATATGAACCCTCTCCGAGTTTATGCTTCCCTTTATTTTCCTTCTTCTTCTCTTTATGAAAACTTATTGTGTTTTTATTGTGTTCAGCAATGTGCATGGGAACTTCCTGAGTGGATCTATACCACTTGAATTCCGGAATCTTGGAAGCTTGACTTATCTGTAAGCTTCAAAGACTGCATAAACAGTTTATTTTTCTGGACTATTATTAGTTTGTGTGACCTTGATTTGATGCTTGTGAATTTCAGGAATCTTTCTTCAAACAGTTTCAAGGGCAAAATACCTGCTGAGCTTGGCCATATTATCAATCTTGACACATTGTATGTTATTTTCCACTGATTACATCCTCGTTCTACCGAGTTACCTATTTATATGTGTACGGTGTACCAACTGCCAACTCATACAAACTTTGGTTTCAGGGATCTGTCTGGCAACAATTTCTCAGGGTCAATACCATTAACACTTGGTGATCTTGAGCATCTTCTCATCTTGTATGTCTTCATCAACCCCTAAAGTTGTATTGCTTTTGCATCAACTCTCTCAGATTTGTTGACTTGAGATTTGCTTTAATTGTCAGAAACTTGAGCAGAAATCATCTCAATGGGACATTGCCTGCAGAATTTGGGAACCTCCGAAGCATTCAGATCATGTAAATATTTTTCTTATGCTCAAAGTTATTCCTTTATGATATAATCTTCCTAACAATCTCTTCTCCTTCCTTCTCAGCGATGTATCATTCAATTTTCTTGCCGGTGTTATTCCAACAGAACTTGGCCAGTTGCAGAACATAAACTCTATGCAAGTACACCATCACTTCTCCTCTGCAATTTACCTTATAATACATAGAAATCATTCTTTGCTTCTTTAATGTACAGGATACTGAACAACAACAAGATTCATGGGAAAATCCCTGATCAGCTAACTAATTGCTTCAGTCTTGCCAATCTGTACGTGTTCATTTGTTACATCAAGATGTGTACTCTCAGATAGTGTTATGATAGTTTCTGAATTCAAATCCTTTTCATGCTTTTTCTTTTTATATCTTAGGAACATCTCCTTCAATAATCTATCTGGAATTATCCCACCTATGAAGAACTTTTCACGTTTTGCCCCGGCCAGGTATCACCTTTACAATGTTTTCACTTCTCATAGTTTGTCATATAATCAGTATACCAAATCTACCTTTTCGTTTATAGCTTCTTTGGAAATCCATTTCTCTGCGGGAACTGGGTTGGATCAATCTGCGGCCCATCTTTGCCCAAGTCTCGAGGTATCTGAATCTGCATTTATCATATTGCATTGTCTTTAGCTGACATATCTCTTAATAAATTCCCTTGGATTTTTTCTTGTTCGTGACCAGTATTCACCAGAGTTGCCGTGATTTGTATGGTTCTCGGTTTCATCACTCTCATATGCATGATATTCATTGCGGTTTACAAGTCAAAGCAGCAGAAACCAATCGCGAAAGGCTCTTCAAAACAACCTGAAGGTCTTGGTCTCATAGATTTTATCTTCTCTTTTGTTCATTAAGATTAATAACAGCATTATGATAAGTCTTTTGTTTATATCTTCAGGGTCAACAAAGCTGGTGATTCTTCACATGGACATGGCTATTCACACGTTTGATGATATCATGAGAGTTACAGAAAACCTCAGTGAGAAATACATCATTGGATACGGCGCTTCTAGCACGGTTTACAAGTGCACCTCCAAAAGTTCCCGACCTATTGCGATTAAGCGAATCTACAATCAGTATCCCAACAACTTCCGTGAGTTTGAGACAGAACTTGAGACCATTGGGAGCATCAGACACAGAAACATAGTAAGCTTGCACGGATACGCCTTGTCTCCCTTTGGCAACCTCCTCTTCTACGACTACATGGAAAATGGCTCTCTTTGGGATCTTCTCCATGGTTTGCTATTCTTCTTCTGTTGGATCAGTGACGTTCTTTTCAAACCAGTTTTATATTTTAGAAGACTTAAACATAGTGATTGTATGATGCAGGGCCTGGGAAGAAAGTGAAGCTTGACTGGGAAACAAGGCTGAAGATAGCAGTTGGAGCTGCGCAAGGACTTGCATATCTTCACCATGACTGTACTCCTAGGATAATCCATCGGGACATCAAGTCATCAAACATACTCCTTGATGGGAACTTTGAAGCGCGTTTGTCAGATTTTGGGATTGCCAAGAGCATACCAGCTACCAAAACTTATGCGTCAACCTATGTTCTTGGAACCATTGGCTATATTGACCCAGAGTATGCTAGAACTTCGCGTCTGAACGAGAAGTCTGATATCTACAGCTTCGGTATTGTCCTTCTTGAACTTCTGACTGGGAAGAAGGCTGTGGATAACGAGGCTAACTTGCATCAAATGGTATGAATCTGAGGATAGTGTTACACAAGCTTGTTCTTGGAAACAATGAGAAAGATATCATTCATTTTGTTTCTGTTGCAGATACTGTCGAAAGCAGATGATAACACAGTGATGGAAGCGGTTGATGCAGAGGTTTCAGTGACGTGCATGGACTCAGGGCACATCAAGAAGACATTTCAGCTAGCCCTCTTGTGCACCAAGCGAAACCCTTTGGAGAGGCCCACAATGCAGGAGGTCTCTAGGGTTCTGCTCTCCCTTCTCCCATCACCACCTCCAAAAAAGTTACCTTCTCCTGCGAAACTGCAGGAAGGGGAAGAACGACGTGAGTGCCACTCTTCAGATACAACAACCCCACAGTGGTTTGTTCAGTTCCGTGAAGATATCTCCAAAAGTAGCTTATAAGATACTAATTTTTAGTGTTTCTTCTATGGCTCTATTTACTCCTTTTTCTGTTTTGTTTTCTTGTATGGCAAGAAAGATCGAAGGGGCAGGTTTTTTATGTGATTTAGGGCTAGTATGATGGGTATTTTGGGAAGGGAGATAAAATTGAAGGCATTAAAGCTAAGAACATGGGATAGGTGAACGAGTAGGTGAAGTTAAATGTTTTCCCAATGGACATCTTCACGAGTTCGTTAAAAATCTTTCAGTTTCCTCTTTAATGCACACATCCGTTAATGCCTACTTCAACACTATACATATATTTTGTACATTTTCAAATGACCAACATTGCGTATGTGAAACTTTTACACTGAATTAAGAACATATGTATGCCTATTGTTTATGATAAAATGTGAATCCTGCCACACAAATCCAAGCTCCTTATTAGAATGTAATTGATGGAGATGTGTTGTTCACTTGTTTGGTGTTGTTCACTTGTTTGGTCCAAATACTAGAAGGAAATGCTTAGTCTGAACTCTGAACAGTGAAATGATTAAAGCTATAGGTTTTTATACCTGTTATTCTGTTAACGTGGAGGATCTTTTTCCCATTGAAGCTCTCAGATTTCTTCATTGCAATGTCTAATTTGTACACGAACGATATATGTCTTGAAAAATCTTATGTAGATGAGGTACAAGAGAGTAAGAGAAGCAACAAATCTATAAATACCGCGACTGAATCATTATCTGAAGTGAGACATAGCTGTAAGAAATGATAACATTGTTAATAATTATAAGCAAAGAAACAAATTCTATGCAAGTTTCTGAAGATGATGAATGCTTACTTTTCTGAGAGATTCAATAAAGGGTTCATCTCGAAAATTTGTGTCCATTGGAGCTTCAAATTCCTTCAATGAACTAAAAACCTGGTATTAGTAGGGGAATATAAATGGTTCTCCATCTAGAGATATGACATGATTTATAAAGACTACATTGTAACAGTTACAAGAACCAGCCTACAGTAATATGAGCGACTTACCCTCAGAAGATTGTTTTCATCTTTGATATCGATTGCTTCACCGCATTTGCTTGATGTCTATCAAGAAGTAGGAGATTTGGGAGTTTTTTTGCTATAATACTGCATCACCTTTCATGGATTCTAGTTCTTGTGGAGGGAGTTTGTGGAGGGAGTTAACCTGCACCACCTTTGAGTCTAGAGGGCAAATCTTAGATTCCTAAACTTGACAATTGGACTTTGAGCTGCGAGATGCCTTAACTTTCCTTCCATTTTTGGATCCAACGGACTTGACCTGCACAAGACGTTAAAGAACATTCTGAGAAATCTTGATTCAAGTTTGAATCAAATGCAAGAGAAGAAGTACATTATAAATGGGATTTATAAAAGGTTTATGGACTAACGTTAAAGAGTGTTTAGAATTATCGGTTGGTGCAATTTTCGCCTGCAATGAGAATTGCATCACTGTAGCTGAAGAGATGAGAGAAAAACAAACAGCACAAACGGTTTGAGACTTACACTGGAAGAGCGTTCTCTTTCTCTAAGAGATGTCCTTAGATGAAATGTCTGAAACAAAAGGAAAAATGTAAATGCTGGTAAAAGTATGGAATGATAAAGAGTTTCAAAATGTCCTTTAGAAGATCTAGACCTGGAAATCTTGGGGGCGAGGCGTATTCTTTTTAGGCAAAGATGCTGAAGAAGTTTCTTGAACCTGAAAGCAAAGATTTGTGTCTGTTACTACTTTTGAGTTTATGGCAGTAAAAGAAACAAAAATGAAGTCACACACGCACTGCTTTATTCACAGTAGAGCTGAATTTTGCTATCTGCTCGGGTGCTGACTGAGCCTTAAACCTGAAGGAGATTCATAGCAGAGAAGTAGTAAACACGCAATTGATCAAAGGAACCAAATAAGTTAAGAGTCCTTACCGGTTTCTTGCAGCCCTTTGGGCAGTCTTGAGGTTAGGTTCCTTTGGAACAGTGATTTTGAATCCCTGCAAACACAACAAATACCAAATATAAGATACAAGAAGTTGATATAATTAGTGTTTAATCTCAAAGTTGATTACCTTCCTTGAAACCTTATGTACAAAAGGAGTTTGGTCCAGCCGCGATACCTACTTCACAAATCAACAATATGATTAGCTCCAAAACTAAATGAGTTCATATATTGTCGATGTTGTTCATGCTTCTGTAGAGAACCCAGATGAAATTTAGGTGTAGATTAAGCTCTAATTCAGTTAACCAATTGGCTCATGAAACAGATTTTGATATGATTTAACTTAACTGGTAACTTGTATGAATCATACAACACTCTTTATTGTACATAATGTATTTGCACACTGACACTTGCATTGTATACGAACATTTAGATTATAACTAAGACTGAATCTCAGAACCAAAATTCTCTATTCAATCCTTTGAATTGCCTGTCATGCCGACGCATGTTGCGATCTTCCTTAAACCTCTCTAGAACAGTACCTTTCATGGTGTTATGTTTGGTGTCTTGTTCGTTTGAGGCCTGAACGATTCCCCAGCATTCTATCACTCCTGGCTGTATTATGCTCGTTTTGGTAAGGAACAGTGATACAGCAGCTTCCACTCTACAAGCTCGTGGTGAGGAAGAGCCCCTCCAATATGCCAAGCGTATTCCTTCTTTTAATAGTAGCCTATCTGAGCCCACACTATCTTCATAAAGCAGATGTGGGACTTGATATTCAGGTCTCACTAAAATTCAGAGGAAAGAAGGAAAATGTTTACCAATTTTGTCAACAAGAAATGAGTTAAGAAGAGAGAAGATAAAGAATAAACCTGGACCCGGGGGCATTAATGAAGAACTTTCTGATAGTTGGAACGAGTGACATTCCTTTTTCAGAATCAGAACCATCATCAGATTTTGAGGAAGTAGTGGCATTGAGTAGCACATCAACCATCTCTTTGTAATCACTTGATTCAGCATCAGAACTCTCAGTGGAGAACACACTCTTCAAAATCAGACCTGAAGAAAGTGTCACATTCACAGAACAACCATCTATTCTCAATTGCCATGATTGATACCTTGTAAAGACCCCTTTACCATTATTACAAAGACTTTGGTAAATAAACTCAGAAATCTCAACACAGCAATCTTTCAGAGAAGCAGAGACATTCAAATTCTAAATCAAAATCCAATTCGGAGGAAGCTCAGAAGAAAGAAAGCAATGATTAAGATGATAAAAAGACAAGTGTTGTTACCTTAGCAATAACAAGATCTTCAAGAAGTCATATTCTATCATCTTTCCTGTGTTGAGTGACCATATCAAAGATCCTTTCTCCTAAAGAACCACTCAGACCAAAATACTCCTTTGACAATCGAATCCAACACACATCGTGTGAGGCTTAATTCAAATGATCAGACCACAGAAACCAGATAGGACAGAACACTCTGAGACTTGGAATCGAGGTAAGAGAAGAGAGATTTGAGATCATCGAGCTTCTTCTGAGTAAAAGCTCTGCAACAATACACACTCACAATTGATAACATCGATTTCCAATTGAGAACTAGAGAAAATGAAGGTGAGATTAGTTCCGATGAGTACCTGGAAGCAGAAGTGGAGCGATGATCAACAGAAGACGAATTCGAATTTCCCATTTTCGCCGGGTTCTCTCCTCTGTTCTCCGGCAGGTTTCGACGTCTCTGTTTACATGGTTTTTTAGTCTTCGTCGGAGGGAGAAGAAATATTTCGGTTTACAATGGTTTTAAAATTACAATTGATTTTCGGTTCGGTTTATATTGGTTTAGAGAAGAAGAAAACAAAAAAACAAAAAAAGTCACGCGATGGAAATTTTGGAGAGAAGTGCATCGATTAAAATAGGCATGATTCCTAAAGGTAAACCCCTTTAGGAATTGCTCTCACTCGCGCAACGCGCACTTTGTGCGAGTGGTTGCGAAATAGAGCCTTCTGATTCGCTAAAGAACTCTAAAAAAAAGTAAAATAGTATACATGTTGCTACCTCCTCTTTTTATGTTCTTATGTTTTTTTCGTCTTCTTCTCTCATTTTGAAGCAAAAACACGAAGAGATCCACAAGTAGATTCATGCTTTCAGATTTCAGATTTCAGATTTCAGATTTCAGACTGGTGAATGTTAAAATCTGTATACACCTTAACACATCTTCCGTATTTGTTCTTATCTAATCTATAGTTCTGGATGTGGATTTTTTTTATAATTTGGAACCATGGAAGTAGAAATCTTCAGGAATCTTGTTGGCTTGATTCTGAGTTTTTGGAATGTGAAAGTTTAATCCTTTCCTACACTTCTTCTTGTAAATAGAATGTTCAAAGATTATTGTGATTTGGATCCTTATCTACACTTGTTAGTTTGTGATTTTGAGTTGTGGTGTTTGGTGTTTTGTTATGTAGCAGATTAAAAACTCCCATCAAATAAAGACCATTTTACCTTTAAAACGAGATCACAGGTGCTTTTGTTTGTTCTTATGTTCATTGTGTTGACTTCTCAGTTTGAGTGGAATGAACAAGTTGAGAGTGAAACTGAGACTATTCGTCCTCTGATTCTCGCTGGTGGGTGGAATTCAAACAGTGTAGAATTGTTGTGTATATGGGATCTAAGGAAGGATTTGGCTTCTTAAACTGAAACTTTACTTGTCCAGTGCCTTTTTCTGTGACAAATCCCGTTTTAGTGACTTGCTTAGTTTCTTTACATGTTGAACCACAGTCCATCTCTTATCACTCTAATTCCAATTGCTTTTTCATCTTTCTAGTCACAACTTTGTGATATGATTTTTTTCTGAAAACGTGTTCAGTTTTGTTTATTGTTGAGTATAGTCTTAGGAAAGCAAAAGAGGCTAGTTTCTAACTTCATCCCATCACTTTGAGCATATCCCAATCTCGAGTCCTCCAAGTGATGCATTCGCAGAAGGAAAAAGCATATCAAGCATAGTTATCTGAAATTCCACACCCTTAGTTAACTTTACTAAACCATTTGATTGCAAAAGTATATATGCTTCAAAGTATCATCTAATGATAATCTGCATATCTATGGATGGCAGAAAATTCTATCTCAAGAAAAGAAAATTCAGAAGCTTAACGAGCTGGTCCGAGATTTAAGGAGGTAGTTGCTGCAATGCAGAAATGAAAATCAGGTTGAGTTGACGAACGAGCTAGAAGCTGATCTTAATCAGCTTCTGGTAACAGGTGTTTAGTCCATTTTTACAGGTACATTGTTTTCCCCTAGCACATCTTTCTGTGTAAAAGCATTCATTGACTTAACACTTACTATTGATAAATCTTGGATTTCCTGTTAATATAAGCTTTAGCACATCTAATTTGTACACGCACGATATATGTCTTGAAAAATCTCTATGTAGATGAGATACAAGAGAGTAAGAGAAGCAACTAATCTATAAGTACCCCGACTGGATCAGTATCTGAAGTGAGACATAGCTGTAAGAAATGGTAATTAACGTTGTTAATAATTATAAGCAAAGAAACAAATTCTATGCAAGTTTCTGAAGATGATGAATGCTTACTTTTCTAAGAGATTCAATAAAGGGTTCATCTCGAAAATTTGTGTCCATTGGAGCTTCAAATTCCTTCAATGAACTAAAAACCCGGTATTAGTAGGGGAATATAAATGGTTCTCCATCTAGAGATATGACCTGATCATTGAAGACTACATTGTATTAGTTTCAAAAACCAACCTGCAAGAGTGACTTACCCTCAGAAGATTTTTTTCATGTTTGATATCGATTGCTTCACCGCATTTGCTTGATGTCTATCAAGAAGTAGGAGATTTGTGAGTTTTTTTCTATATTATGTTAATTAAAATACCTTTCATGGATTCTAGTTCTTGTAGAAGGAGTTAACTTGCATCACCTTTGAGTCTACAGGGCAAATCTTAGATTCATAAACTTGACAATTGGACTTTGAGCTGCGGGACGCCTTGACTTTCCTACCCTTTCTGGTACCAACGGACTTTGACCTGCACACGACGTGTAAGAACATTCTGAGAAGTCTTGATTCAAGTTTGAGTCAAATGCAAGAGAAGAAGGACACCATCATAAATGGGATTTATAAAAGGCTTATGGACTAACGTTAAGGAGTGTATAGGATCATCGGTTGGTGCAATTTTAGCCTGCAATGAGAATTGCATCACTTTAGCTGGAGAGATGAGAGAAAAACAAACAGCACAAAGGGTTTGAGACTTACACTGGAAGAGCGTTCTCTTGCTCTAAGAGATGTCCTTAGATGAAATGCCTGAAAAAAAAGGAAAAATGTAAACGCTGGTAAAATTATGGTATGATAAAAGAGTTTCAAAATGTCCTTTAGAAGACTATCGAGACCTGTAAATCTTGGTGGCGAGGCGTATTCTTTTTAGGCAAAGATGGTGAAGAAGTTTCTTGAACCTGCAAACAAAGATTTGTGCTGTTACTACTTTTGAGTTGGTGGCAGTGAAAAAGAAACAAAAATGAAGTAAGCACACACGCACTGGTTTATCCATAGTAGAGATAAATTTCGCGATCTGCTCGGGTGCTGACTGAGCCTTAAACCTGAAAGAGATTCATAGCAGAGAAGTAGTAAACAAGCCATTAAAGGAACCAAAAATATGTTGAAAGAGTCCTTACCGGTTTCTTGCAGCCCTTTGGGCAGTCTTGAGGTTAGGTTCCTTTGGAACAGTGACTTTGGATCCCTGTAAACACAACAAACACAAATATAAGATACACAAAGATGATGGTACAATGAATGTTTGATCTTAAAGTGCATTACCTTCCTTGGAACCTTATGTACAAAAGGAGTTTGGTCCAGCCGTGATACCTACTTTGAAAAGCTAATAAATATTAGTTCCAAAACAAATTGTGTTGCAGTGAGATTAGATGATGTTTGAGAGCACCTTGCGCAAGTAGCCGGTTTCCAGTTTTTGCCTTTTGTTATCTTGTGTTTGAGGCATAGAGTATAAGAGAGAGGAAAACTTGTCATCACACTTTCCTAATGATCTCTGACATCTATGAAACATCAAATTAGTTTGAAGCTAAGAAAACAAAAGCGCTGATGAAGAGGACATATGTTACCTTGTGAGAAGCCGAACAGAGTAAATATCTAGAGGTTTATTGTGTCTTGCCAACAAAGAAGCAGTGGGTCTCGTTAAAGTTGAGTTCTTTCGTAAAAAAGGTTTTGTTTTAGACTTGTGCGTCGCATTGGGAACATCTTTAGGAGCTTGGTTATAATATATGAACCCTAAATGACCATAACATACCTTGAGTTGCAAGAAAACAAATCAAAGACAAGAATTTTCAACATAATACCATTGTATTGATCTGAGATGGGTTTAGGGATCTCGAGATGTTTGTCTTCGTATCTCAAATTTAGGCTAAATGCTGAGACAAAAAGGTATAAACATTATTAAAAAAAAACAGAGTCTTTTTGGACTCATTCCCAAAAAATATGCATATTGATCTTACGTGAGGGAGGATAGTTTCCAGCTGATTCAAACCAGAGCTCTGTTTCTGAATCAATTTCAGGTTTGGAGAAATCGTAGAATCGAGGAGCATCGAATTCGAAATCGATGTCGAATTCCTCAAGGGAGAAATCTTCTGCAAATATATCCATTGTTTCCGGATCCATTGTCTCGGGGAAGAACATCTTGAGATCGAGCATCAATCAGAATAAATCAAAACCTCGATTTTTGTTCTCTCTCCCATCTCTGGAAAACTTCTAGGAGCAAATTTAGATGGCGCGGTTACGAAACGACGGTGTTTAAATGCAGAAAAATAACAGGATATTATTGTTTGCTAAATACAGGTATGAAGTAACTAAGTAACTAACTACTAGTAGTTTTGTATTGTTTAATGGTGATGATTAGTAGTAGCATCAATTCCTTTTTCATGTAAAGAAGAATCAAAAGCTTTTTGCAGAAAGTAAAGAACCAATATATTATAAGATCAAAGAGGCACGAGCCACTCAGTATCATACAACATCTCTAGAAAATACACTCACTGCGAAATTATGTTATATACATTGGTTAAAAAGTATGTACATGTTCATACAAAATCATTATCATTGCAATTAGAGTGAATCCATTTTTTTGTTTAAACATATTAATAAACTGAATTCAAAGCCCTAAGCTTCTCATGCCTCCATTCATTGTTAATCTTTGCTATAAACTCTTCTACCCTCATTCTCAAATCATCGTCTCCTTCCTCCTCCTCTTCAACCTCGGACTCTTTGCTCTCATCATCATCCTCCTCCTCCTCCTCCTCCTCCTCCTCCTCCTCCTCCTCATCATCATCATCATCATCATCATCAGCATAGCATTGGCTGCTTTCTCTGTCCTCTTCTTCGTCAGAACTCGAGTCATCGATCAAAAGCTCATCTTGTGCAGATGGAATAGCAGCAGTGTTTGTCATCTCTTCATCATTATCATCATCATCATCACCACAATCATGATGATCAGATGCAATGTCTCTCGTATCGTAGCTCACAGAGGTAAGAAATGTGGAATCATGTGAATCCTTCAAACCGGGTTTTGATGATCCAGTGAAGATCATGACAATAATGAGGTTGCAGAAACAGAACATGAGAAGCGAATTCGACGTGGCTTCTCCGATCAATTCAAACGCTATGTCCAACATCTTTGCAGTCTAAGAGAAAAAAAGGAATATATTGAGAAAGAGAGAAGCCGAAGAAGAATTTGGTAGTTAATTCTGCTTTGAGAGATAACACAGAGGTTTTGCGCTTTATAAAGAGGGGAAAGTGTGTGAGAGAAGCTTTTTGTTATGCAATGAGAAGTTTTGTGGTAATGAGGTGTAGATAGAAAGCTTCTTTCTTATATATAATATGAAATAGATTAATTTAAAAGACACAAAGTACAAATGAAACTTAGGTCGTTGGCAAAAAAGAAAATGAATCTTGGGTCTTTGGAATATAAATATTCTATAGATGTGAACCTTCAATGTAAATGGTCCAAAATTGTTTATATAATGTTTCTAGTGAAGTTACTTGGCAACTATTCATCAAATCATGTGAGCAACTTATTAATGTCTTAAACAAATAACATAAAAAAAAAGGTTTTTTTTCGCATTTTAGTGTCACATGGACATTAGCATCATGTCTACGTCATCCATTGCCATCATCATCATGATAGACTTTCTTAGTCAGCCAGAAGGCTCTCTGAAACTGGATAATTTAAATTTAAACCGGTACATTCAATGAAAACTCGGTGAAACTACTTGACGATCTTTCCAAATACATAACCACATTTCTTATTCCTTATTATAGTATTTACAACTGGATACATCTTGAAATATGAAATTGACAAATTTGTTAAGGATAAAGTATTAACATCTGGCAATAATGCATTGGTCAAATATGTTCATTTTAAGGAAAAATCAAGATACCATAAAATGACAAAAAATTACAAGGGCAAATAGGGTATTTAACTTGTGTTTACCTCACTATAAAAGCAACACTCGACAGTAGTAGTATAGTCTCACAACTAGAACAAGGCTTAGCACATTTACTTGTCTTCATTAATTATACTTACTTACAACATTAACTCAATGAGCTTCCCTGTGGTTGCGACATCGTTTGGAGTGTCCCAAAGTGGCAGCCAAGCGGGAGAGAAGAAAGGTGGCTACGTCCACTATGAAGTTGAGCCAGGCTTCACCATTCGTATGCGTCACGATATTGATCCTACCACGGACCCTAAGAAACTCAAACGGTTACATAATTTTCATCTTTTTCTTATACACATTATAAGGGAAACTCTAATTGAATTCAGTCTCCATATATATGCAATTTATATATGTAGGATAATTTCAAACCGTGTGGCGGCTCAGAAGTCAAGGTGGAAGAAGGTTCAATATATTGATGCTCTAGTGAAGAGATCCATGGAGCTCCAAGTATAAATATATATATACCTCTACTTAATTTCATATATATATGTACCACTTCGATTTATTATTCTTGTGTATACATATGTGCAGGGACAAGTGAGCATGTTGCGTTCCGAACTAGCGATAGCGAGTGAGCACAAGCGACGTCTAGAAAATGAGCAAAGGCAGCTAAAGGAGTGTATCTCTGCTCGGGTGCAACATTGTATTGACAGCGATGGTATATTAAATTTCTTTTTTTTGACGGCAAAAAAAATAAGTACATATAATACTTAATTAATGGGAATATACATTTTTTCGAATTATGGATATAACATTAATTATAATGCTAATTGATAGGTGTCATTGAGGAGTGTAAAGCGGAGATTGAGAGGCTGAAGAAGAATCTGGCTCCACTCTCGAATCTTTCTTAGTTGATTTGAAGAAACCCTATACCATTTCTTCGATTCAGTTTATTCTTGTGTTGTTTTGTTTTTTAATTCATGTGTTTCGGTTTACAGATAATATTATTCTCAAATGAATTAATGTGCATTTTCTGTCAAAGTATGTCTTTCTTAAGAAGATTAAAAGAACATAAAATGTATATACAGAGAGGTTAAACAAACGGTTATATGTATAATGATTAATTAACATGCATACATACTTACGTTTTTTTAATTAAGCGTTTGTAATATTTGCTAAATATTTTTCCACGTGTACGCATGCAATTAGAGCTGTCTTCTGAAGATTTAGGTGTATTAATGAAAGAGGTAATAGAAAATTAAACGGAAATAATAACGCATTAGGATTTGTCGTCTTCTTTTTATTAGTCTAGAAAAATGCCAATTTTGAATTCAATTTATTTTAAACAGATACACAAAAGGTTAAACAAACGGTCATATAATGATTGACATGCATACACACACCTACGTTTTCTAATTTGTTAGTTTTGCTTCTTTTTCTTTTCCCTATTTTTGCTTTATGCAATTAAAGGTACATCTTCTAGTTATAAATTTAGGTATATTAATGAAAGAGATGAAAAAAACTTTTAAGATATTGATGTTTTATAGAAGGATCTTGAAAAGAAAGTGATGTTTTTTCAAAATTAGAATGGTTTTGTTTTTTTTTCGAATGAAGGAACGCAAAGTGTGGGAGATGCGAATCTTCGAAAAAGCCTAACCTCTCTATATGCAGAAGTAGAATCACTCGTGTGGACAATGTGATGTATAATTGGTCAAGACAAGAAAAATAGTTTTTTATATAAACTGTTTAGACCTAGTAAAAATGGTGTTTTTCCTAATCGAGTGGCTAGCTTTTTCTACATATCTGGAGACAACTCAGAATGACAAAGATGAGTTCTTTTATTTTTCTTTATTTTTGGTTCGTAGTACAAATTTTAAAATGAATTATTTGGCACGAAATGTTGGTACCGAATTTATCACATATGTAAATAACACTTCTCGATATTAATTATTAAAGTGTTGATAAAAAAAAATCTTAAAACGGAAATTATAACGCATTAAGGAATTGTCGTTTTCTTTCTATTAGTGAAAATGGTGCCAGTTGTGAATTCAATATATTTAAAAATATATATACATAAAAAGTTAAACAAACGGAGAGGATGTGCCTTTAGTCAAGTGGTTAAGTCCACTTAACTCCGCTTTCTCCAGCGGAATTCGATTTCAGTAAATCGCGTTATCCCTTATAGTAGGGATTGATATGGATCGGGCCTTGTCGATCTGTCAAAAACAAAAAAAAAAGTTAAACAAACGGTTATACATATTGGCATGCACATCTATGTTTTTAATTAAATATCTTTACTTTTTCCTAATTGCCTTTGTGAAGACAAGTCTAATTAAGAATTGAGATTGTTATATGGGCCAATTATGAACAGCCCAGACCATTGTGAGCTAGGGCCTAGGGGTGTGTGTAGTTGTCGTTTTTATCAATCATTGCTCAACTTCATGTCGTTTGACAATAAGAACAAAGGATTATGCAGACAAGATCTACATGGTTCTCTTTAAGGTTTCAAAGTTCAAACCCACACATTTTGTCTCAATTGACCCAAAAAAAAAAAAAAAAAAAAATCATCTTCAGACTTCAAATTTGCAGAGAGTACAGAGATGATGATACATTACGTTACTGTGCAATTGGTGTGAATGATATATCTACATTTCGGTGGATATAATCTCCAGCTCCGCCCACCACGCCGGAGATCGACTTGGCAACGCTGCTTCCGGCGTTATTCCGGTGATCTCTCTCAGCTTAACCACCACTTCCTTCATTTCCAGCTTCTGATTCAAACACTCTTTAACCACTTCCCACAGTCTCTCCATGACATCCTCTTGAAAGCTTTTCAGAGACGGGTCTGCAACGGGCTTGGTTTCGTCGTGGAGCAGAGAATCTGGATCCGGGATCTTTCCGGTGATGATCTCTTGCAGAAGGGCGCCAAAGCTGGATACGTTGGTCATGGGGTCAAGTGGTGTGGAGCTGAGGAAAGTAAAGTCTGAGATTTTGGCTGCGTAATCTGTTGCCAAGTAGACTGAAGAAGAGTTGAGGTTGGTGTGAGAGATGGGTTTAGGGTTTAGATTGTGCATATGTTCTATACAGTAAGCTATTCCCATTACGATTCTTAGTCTCATTGGCCAGTCCAAATGCTCTGCGTCTTGGTCTGCAACAAATTATTACAGTTAGTTGAAAAATAGATCATGGGACTGAGTCTGTGGAAGAAGTGGCATTACTACTCACCGTGCAGATGCTCGAAGAGGGATCCGTTAGGAGCGTATTCGAAAACTAGCATTCGGTTGAATGGCTCGTCTTCATGGCAATATCCGATTACATTGAGGAAGTTCTTGTGGTTCACTTGAGATAACCTCTGTATCTGCATTGCAGGATTGTATGTGTTTTAAAGAAGCGGTGAAAGAAACTAAGAGTGCAGAAAGAGGTTCTGATGTTACCTTTTCTTGGAACTGTGTTTCATGATCCACTGACCAGTCCTGGAGGGATCCAGATGCGACTGCTAGAACAGCGATTTCAGAGCCGGTGGAGAGAGTTCCTTTGTAAATGGTGGCGTCTGAGGATGTGGACCCTATGATGTTACTGAAATCTTCACAGGCAGTTTCTAGTTCTGCTAGCTTCAGCTTAGGAACACCTTCATAAGTCATAATAAGTACACTAAACTCACTTTCACTAATCTCTGCTATGTTATTGAACATAGAGTAAACATATTAACAGTGATGATACCTGTAGTAACAACATCTTGAAGCTCTCCACTGCTCCCAGTTGCCCCCCATGGCTTTATCATTTTTACCTTTTGGTTCCAGAGAAAAAAGAAGGCCACCAATACGGCCATGACGGCAAATACACCTACTAGCACTCCAACTATTATGTAAGTCTTAGTCTTTTGAGATGTCTTCTTGTTGGCATCATCAGGGACATCTGAAAGCTGAGGTGGTGGAGGGGGAACTGGTGGAGGCTGAGGCTGAGGCGGGCTTGGGAGAATGACTGGGGAACTAGGGGGAGGGCTTTCACCTCCAATCGACGGAGGAAAAGGAGAGAGGAAAGGTTTTACGATGAGATCCTGTGTAGGAGGAGGTGCCTTCCGAGGGGAAGTTACCTGAAGCAGCCTACGGCCGTTGGAGCTGAAGGGAAATGGTTGGCCAAAGTTGTTGTCACACAAATCCAAGATCTCAAGCTCCTGCAATTCTGTTACCTCTTCAGGTACTTTCCCGGAAAATGAATTGTTTCTTAGAATACTGCAAACAAGAACAAGGGAGTTGTAAATGTATATGTATCTATCCACGTATAGTTTGAGGAGTGTTGAAAAAATGTTTTTACTTACAGAGATTTCAAGTGAGTTAGGTTTCCTAGTTCAGGTGCAAGTGTTCCTTGTAGGGAGAGATCTCTTAGATTTCTAGGTTATAAGACATCAAATTTGTAACAAAACTGCGATTTAGAGAAACTTCTTATTCTTATTTTAAGGATTTGGATATGACTTACAAGATGACAACTCTTCCATCATTTGAACAGACAACACCAGACCAAGAACAATGAGAAAGCTCTCCCCAATTCATTAGAGCTCCAAATGGGTCTCTCTCTATTCTCTCTTTAAATTTCATCAAGGCCAATGCTGCAAAACACTCAAGAGTTGATCCATCAATAGTTGAAAAGACCTCAAAATTTAAAAAGATGAAACAAAAGTAAGTACCATCGGTGCTAAAACAGAGACCAAAGGTGAGATTGTGAGGAAGAAAGAAGAGAAAGAAGAGGATGGAGAATGCTGGTCGGAGCAATCTCCACCGTTGATCGGAACTCATCCTTTTCTGTTTTGTTGGAGTAGTTCAGGTCGTCGTCCAGAAAAGAAGACAAATCAATGGCTGCTCCTTTTTATATCCCACCTTCTTCATTTTCTTTTGTTTTTGATTTGTTATTTGTCATTGTTTTTGATATATACAAAATGCTTAACCATAGAAACATTTACAAGTTGGAGTAAATACAATTTTAATTTAAATATACACACCATTTGCAATGCACGATAAAAAGTCTTTCCCTCTAGAAAATTGACCCGGTAAACTTTGACTTTGGTTTTTTTTTTTTTTTGCAACATCTCCATATTTTTGAAGGAGCCAATCCATACACAATCGTTACTTTATGCCATCTTGAACATTTCTAATTTGAAATCTAACATTCGTACCTGTTTTTTCTTTAATTATAAGAAAAAAAGATCACTCATATTGGTCCATTTACAATGTAAACAAAGTGTAAAAATGAAAGTGGGCATTGGCAAAGAGGCTTAGACTTTATAATGAATCTGTTACTCTACTTTCCGGTCCACAAGGTTGCTACCATCTGATCTAACCAAATATACACCAACCACTTTCTTCTTCTGAACTTAATCATCACCATTGCTATATTGATGTGGAGCTATTCTCTTACCTACAAAAACTATTGGTTTGCTAAAAGATTTCTTCAAAAAAGGAGGCACTCTTCCAATTCCTATGGAGAAGAGAGTGTGTTACCGTGAGATGGCACGGAGCAAGATGCAGTGGATTTGAGAGAAGTTAAGGCGTGTGGAAGGGCAAGTGTTCCAGCATTTGGTCATAAGATATCTGAGGACTTGAGGACACTCCTTTGGGATCTCTGGTCTTAGCCCACACGCTGCAATCCCAACCGCTGCCTGCACTGGCGAGCAAGACCCATACGCCTCCTCCCCTGTCACCATCTCCCAAAGCACCATCCCAAAGCTATACGCATTGCTCATCCAACTCTCTCTTGTCTTCTCCGGGTCGCCCGCGATTATCTGATTTCAACCGTTTCATAAACTGCAGTCAACAACTGCTTTCCAAATAGAATCTACTTATGCATAATTGGACAAGGAGAATTAGTGATAGAATGGTGAAGCATGTAGGTAGCTTTTAGATGTCCGGTATTGCATTTATAACCACAAAACTAGAAGCCTACAAGTATAATTTAAGCAATGTTTTTTGTATTATTGGCTTACAGATCAAATATGATGAGGTAATGGCAAGCACGAATCCTTAGGAAAATCAATGAACTGGGATTATGCAAGGAAAGCGTCAAAGAAATACAGACCTCGGGTGCAAGCCATCGATAGCCATCTGTTTCATACTCCATGGCCTCGCTGACACTCTTGCATGCAGTGACTACTCCCAAATCACCCAAACAGGCGTTGCACTGCTTATCTAATAGTATTCTCTGTGTATTAAGGTCTCTATATGCGACACCATGATCGTTAATGAACTTCATAGCTTCTGCTATGTCAACAGCAATTTGAAATATCACCTTGGTCTGAAGCTTCTTTTTCTTCAACACCAGTTCACGGAGTGAGCCACCTTGCATCAACTTTGTTACCACGCATAATCCATGATTTTCGTCGATGCAGACACCATAAAACTGCAGAATGCTCTTGTGTCCACAGGTCATCAGCTCCAAGAAATCTTTTCGGATCTCAAACTCATAGGAATTTCCCTTTTCACAGCCTTTTAGTTTCTCAATGGCCACCTTTATTCCTCTGTAAACTCCTTTAAAAGAATTTGGTCCTAACTGACCACCAAACTCGAGATCATCTGAATTCAGTAGCCATTTTCCTATATCATCACCACCTGATTGGATGGTCTGCCATTCATCCACAGATACAGAAAACGAAGAGCTTGGAGGTGGCATTTGCAGTTGGATCCTAGTATTTAGATCATCCAATTCGTGTCTATAGCATTGATCAATGGACTCCACATCAACATCCCCGAATTCTCCTACACCCGCATTCTGTTCTTGACAACCGCAAAGACCAAAAGGGAGCTTCACAGAGGTTGACTTAGGCTTCCTCACCGCAGATCTAAGGGCATTCTCTACCTTAATTTTGAACAACTTCTCTTGTCCAGACTCAACCAAAAGAAGAGCAACTCCGAGAGTCAACCCTTTCTTCTCAAAGATTTGTACTTTCTTACAACAAATCGAAGCACAATCAAGAGACCCTGAAATGGTTGACCACGGAAGCGAAGAAGTAGAAGCAAATGTGAGCTTGAACACAGAACCCTGCTCATCAGCTTCCTCATCACACACCTCTTGAATCACAAACACAGGATTATCATCTCCAGAAGCTTGCTCTATCAGCTTTATGTGTACAAATACATCTTTCATATCGAAACCAGTCTGACTATAACTGTTAAAAAACAAAAGCATAATTTATCCACATTACTTCCATGATCTATTCCCAATACAACACCATATCTAGATCTAAGCTTTGTATCTTCCACAAAACACTAGTTTAATAATTTCAGAAACCGAGAAGAATAAAACATTGCTTCGGAAATCGAACTAGTGAGTAAAAATGAAGCAATATCTTAAGCGTCTTTGAGAATCTGATGTTACCTGAGAGGCAAAGAATCGTAATGCTTCCGGAGGTTAGAGACGAGATTATCAGGCAACTGGCTTCCAGGATACATTTTAGCAAGGTTTCTCACAACAGTGGCCCATACGAGCTTCCTACCTCCTCCGGTGGCTGCATTTTGGTTGTCTCGACCCGAATCGAGGTTGAGAGAGTTCTTGAGAGACGCGATCGCGTCGGAGACGTTGCGGCCGAGACGCTGAAACCGCTTTTGCATAGCGGAAGAGGTTTGATCGGAAGGTGGAGCAGCAGTGAGGGACTCAGACCTGTCGTCAGAGCACATGAGGACTTGGTCAACGAAATCGTCGTCGGCGCAACCACCATCGGCATTACGGGTGGTCCAGCATTCGAGTGCGGAGGCCATGGCGGCGAAGGTAACGAAGTTTGGGTCTCTTCTACTTGAAAAATCCTCTCAGTGATGAGATTTATAACTAAACGAAACTGTAAGCGTTATTATATCTTTGGTTATATAAATGTAGCTTCATTTTAGGACATACAAGCACCAGTGGTCTAGTGGTAGAATAGTACCCTGCCACGGTACAGACCCGGGTTCGATTCCCGGCTGGTGCATTTGTTTCTTTTTTTTTGTGCAAAATTGAGAAATACTTTTGGACTTATTGCATCCGAGAAGAAGCTATTTGTGATATCTTTGTAACTGAGAAATGAATGATATATCTTGTGAAACAATGGAAAGAGAATATTGTGTGTAGATAAAGAGTCTTTAACATTGGGGTAAGTCCAATGGTGGAGACTGTACAGATTGCAAATGCCCTTCTCCGTTCTCCACTAAGAAGACCATTGCTAAACCCCAGAATATATGTGAGTCGAGGTGGCAGTGCATCAGCCACGCTCCTGGATTATTCGCCACGAATCTGATGGCTACCCATCCACCTGGTGGTGTTCCGATTGTGTTTCTTCGTGGTGGGTCGATGAGGTTAAAGGAAGCTGTGTCTGTATTTGGGTTGAAGTTACCAACACCTGTCCCAACTACGTAGAACTCGTAGCCGTGGAGATGCATCGGGTGATTCTCAGTGGTCACGATGCTCGTGTCTTGCAATATAATCTGCACTTTTGAATTGAACTTTAGTTTGTAGGCCTTTGTTCCGCGGGTAGGTTGCCATAGCCCTCTGCTCACGTTTCCTGTATAGTCAAATGTGACAGGAGGCGTAGGAGGGAAGTCTGTGGTGAAAACACCTGCGGGAGTGCCTTGGTAATAAGCTTGCATTATGGAGTTTTGTTTGGGGAAGACGAAAGAGACGTTGTTAATGCTCGCGGTGAAGCGTGTTCCGTTAGGGCCTTGACACCTTTGTGTGTTGGGGGTTGGGCAGTTGAATAGTCCCAATCCCACTGTGAAAAACAAGTTCTCATCAATCTCCAGGGGCACTTTTACTTTCGAAGGACTCTTCATCTGCGCTGTGAATGCTGCTGCTGTTGCTGTGTCGTTGAATCCTGGCAGCTGTGCAGGTATTGCCTGTGCCTGTGATTTACCTTGAAGAGTAACACAGGAGGCATCTTTGTACTTGAGGATTGCAGTGGTTGTGGTGTTGTCAAAGGCAGCGTTGGCACTGTTGTATGCATGTGCTGCCATGTAGTAATGTGCTGGCGGTTGGTCTGCGGTTAGAAGCACATCAGTTGTCTGACCTGGACCTAACATTATGACATTAGTCGAGAAAGGTTTGGTGTAGGAGGCATCCGCAGCGACCACTGTCAGTTTGTGATTCGCGACACCAAAGAAGAGTTCTTGGTTCAAAGCAGAATTGATGACCCTGAGGAGGACAATCTCTCCTGAACCCACTAGAAATCTTAAAGTTTCTGCAACGTGACAAACACATAATATTAAGTTATTAACTAACTAAGATGGAGCTGCTTTTGAGGGCTGGGAAGTATAAACTAAATGGTACCTTGGCTAGAACATCTGTAGAGATCACCAGGCTGACCATTGATGGTGAAGGCGTCTGAGATGTTTGGTGCTGCTCCCGTGAACTGGGCTAAGTTGAGGACATCCATGGGGTTTCTGTCCCACCACTCCCCTAAGAGGAGGGTAATCTCTCTCTTGGGAATAACTGGAAAAGGGTAATGAGGAGAAGAGAGCGGAGGGCGGATAATGAGAGCGCCATACACGGTGGCTCGCAGCCATCTACTGTGGGCATGCCACCACAACGTACCTTCTTGGTCTTCAATGGTGAACCTGTACGTGTAACTCCCTCCTGGTTGGATTGGGCACTGGGTTATGTATTCTGGTCCATCCGCCCATGGATTCCGCATCTGCCGTATCCCATGCCTGCATATGGCTCTGGTTAGCAGACTATTCTAGCTATCAAACATTGATTTGATGCAAGGGAAGAGTGAGTTTACCAGTGGAGGGTGATGTTGTACCGAGCTTTGTTTATGGCTGTGATGACAAGGGAATCACCGTTTCGCACCTCCAAGGTCGGCCCTGGAAACTGTCCATTCACCGTGATCGAGTTATGAACTCTGCACAGCCTCTTCACCGGCGTCTCTTGAACCTAACCAAACACAAAAAAAAAAAAAAAAAAAAAAACTAAGTTGAGCATCAATGTGAGTAACAATGGAGAAAACAAAAAAGATTTAGAAGTAGTAAACACACAACAAACTCATGAAAGTGAACTTCTGCATTGACAAGTGAAGCTAACAAAACAGCCAAGAACACAAAGAAGGACCGTATTTGCTCCATTGCGCTCACATACTCGGAGAGACAGAGAAAGTTGAAACTTTTATAGGCAGGAGACAGAGAGCGTTTAGTCAAACCAGCACACACGATTTGGTGTAACCACTAAACAACAAAACAAACAGTTTCTGCTTTTAAATATGCTACTTGTTCCGGAAGATGTAGGTGAACCCCTAGCAGCCTACTTTTGTACCTTTTCTTTGGTTTTTTCTCATCCTCGGACACCAAATCTCTAAAAGCTTTTGGATCCTCTCCTTAAACCAGAATCTTTACTATTACCCAATTAAGTAGCAGTTGATAAAAACTATGCCAAAATTTATAAACCAAATCTATTGCTGCGTCATCAATCATCATCAACTTGTCCCCAAGTTAAATTTGATTTTCTCATTCATCAATGTATTTTAAATAACGAAGAAGAAGAATGAAAACAGCTACCTTTTTTAGACATGAGACATCTGCTGCCTCAGCTTCTCCAGGAATTTCAGTGACTTGAGTGCTTCAAAGACATTACTGAAAGTGATTAAAATTATCTAAAACCTCGACAACTGTTTACTTTTTTCCAAGAGTAATCATCATTATCTATTTACTGAAAGAAAAACGTTTCTGCATCATCATCATCATCCGTTTTCCCCTTCTCCAGAAAAAAAAAAAAAAAAAAACAGAGCTTTAAGCGTCTCGCCATTGGAAACTCCATTGGAGGACTACTACATTCTCATTCCCGAAGAACAAGGGTAAACATAAGTTGAAGATAGGTACTTTGACCAGAATCTATAGTATCCCAAATGGGTCTGACCCGGCAACCCCAATTTCGCGTCCCTGGTTCATCGGAAATCTTATTAGTACAGTAGTTGACTCGGTACGGTTGTGGAAGAAGAACCAAGTGAAACCAAGTCAGGTCGTTTGGATGTAGAGATATGTCTATCTCTATCACGTTCAATTATAAAAAATGAAGTTGCATATGGGGCTGGGCCGGGTCGGGTCAAAACCCAGCTAAACACTTTAACGTGACCCGAAAGATATTACTCTTTCTCATCTCATCTTCCCCGATTAGCCATTGACGAGACTTGACGCTACTACTCGATATCTGAGCCCCACCGCCGTGACTTTCGCCACTCCGGTTATTTATTGCAGTTCACGACCACCGTATCCTCGTAATCTCCAATATCTCGAATCGAATCGAAAAACCCCAAACTTCCTGTGAATTTATTACTAAAATTAGCTCACTTCATAGATTTATCGGAGATGATGGGCTCAGAGAATGACGACGAGTCCCATCTCCACGCGTCCAAAGAAGAGATGGAGAATCTCTTTCTCCGGGAAGATGGCGATCCCTTGACCAGAAGCCATGTCAACGGCGATAAATCTAACTCTAATTATCGCAGCGCTGTGTCAACTCTCTCCGACTCTCGTCATCCGTCGATTGTCGTGACTCCAGCTGATTCCGATCCACTTTTTGCGCCGCCGTCTTACTACAGAGAATCTCGGAGCCCTCGTTCTAAACCAAACGGCGGCGACAGAGGTAGCTCTTACCTCGAGCCTCCGTCTTATGCTGATGTTATCTTCAGTCCTTTCGATGATATTTCTGAGATCAACGGCTCAGAAGATGGCGGAAGCCGTCATAGTCAGTCCTCAGATTCATTATCAAGATCTCCGTCTTCTTTGAGCTCTGATTACATCAAGATCACTGTTTCTAATCCTCAGAAAGAGCAAGAGGCTACAAATTCAATGATTCCTGGAGGAAGCACTTACATAACTTACCAGATTACAACTAGAACGAATCTCCCTGACTACGGCGGCTCGGAGTTTAGCGTTCGAAGAAGATTCAGAGACATTGTCACATTGGCAGATAGATTAGCTGAGTCGTATAGAGGGTTTTGCATCCCACCGAGGCCAGATAAGAGTGTGGTTGAGAGTCAAGTGATGCAAAAACATGAGTTTGTGGAGCAGAGAAGAGTTGCATTGGAGAAGTATTTACGTAGGCTTGTTGCACATCCTGTGATTAGGAACAGTGATGAATTGAAGGTTTTTCTTCAGGCGCAAGGGAAGTTACCGCTGGCTACGAGCACTGATGTGGCTTCTAGGATGTTGGATGGTGCCGTGAAGTTGCCGAAGCAGCTGTTTGGTGAAGGCGGAGGAGCTTCTTCGGTTGAGGTGTTTCAGCCGGCTAGAGGAGGTAGAGATTTTCTGAGACTGTTTAAAGAACTTAGACAGTCGGTCTCTAATGACTGGGGTGGATCAAAACCACCTGTTGTGGAAGAAGATAAAGAGTTTTTGGAGAAGAAGGAGAAGATGTATGATCTTGAGCAACAGATCATTAATGCTTCACAGCAGGTAGAAATTTCATACTTGTTACTTCACAAAGATCAGTATTTTCATGGTTTTTGTTTTTTTGTAGGCTGAATCCCTCGTGAAGGCACAGCAGGACATGGGGGAGACTATGGGGGAAATGGGATTAGCATTCATTAAGCTGACGAAATTCGAGAATGAAGAAGTTTTCTTAAATTCTCAAAGAGCTCGTGCCAATGATATGAAGAATTTTGCCACTTCAGCTGTAAAAGCAAGCAGATTTTACAGAGAGCTGAATTCCCAGACCGTCAAGCATTTGGTAAATTAGATAATACTAACAGATTTGTAGAATTTATTCCGCTTTCATTTGAGCTGAGCTATAGTTTGACTAAGAGCTCTGAATTATTCATGTCAGGACACACTCCACGACTACCTCGGCCTAATGATGGCAGTCCAGGGCGCCTTTGCAGATAGATCTAGTGCGTTACTGACAGTGCAGACGCTTCTATCTGAACTTTCTTCACTTGGAGCAAGAGCAGAGAAGCTAGAAGCTGCATCATCAAAGGTCTTTGGCGGTGACAAATCAAGGATTAAGAAGATAGAAGAGTTAAAAGAAACCATCAAGGTCACTGAGGACTCCAAAAATGTTGCCATCAGGGAGTACGAGCAGATCAAGGTATACATTCAGTAATTTCCATACACAAAACAAATCTTATACTGATTTGAGGTCTTATGTAACTATGTATATTGTGACAGGAAAATAACTGGTGTGAGGTTGAAAGGCTGGACAGGGAAAGGCGTGCAGACTTCTTGTATATGATGAAAGGGTTTGTTGTTAATCAGGTACATTTAAGGACTTTGACTATTATTAAACCTCTGTCTCTTCATAGAATTAGCGAGAGTTGTTAAGCAAGATCGTTTAGCTCTGAAATCAACCTCACTATGTATTAAATCACATGAATGGAAGAGAAAAATCGGTGAATGTTATAGGGGATGCTATAATTTGAGGAATTTCTTTCATGAGATAGATGCGCCAAAATGAATATGATTCGAGATATTTGAATGAATGCTTGAAAATTGGTGAAATCTGCGCTCTTGCAATGCTAGTGAATGCAGAGAAATCTGCATGAGATTTTTGAAACAAAGAGATGAAAATCTGTATAAAAAGGTGTGAAAACAGAGTTGGTGGTATTTGAATGTGCAGGTTGGATATGCAGAGAAGATCGCCAATGTGTGGACAAAGGTTGCTGAGGAGACAAGTCAATACGGTAGAGAGAGCTCTTAACACATGTTAAGAGGAACCTGTAATTTATTCTTATTCTTCAATTCGTGGCTTTGGGCTTAAACCAGTTTTACGTTTTCTTTTTTACTTTGGTGTAAAAAGAAAAAAAAGTGTTAGTAAAGTTCTTCTTTCATTCAATAGTCCAGCAACAAACAAAGCAAAAAGAAATGACAAAAGAATGGTTACATGTTACAACAATTCAATTGTATACAATATGAAGCAAATGAATATGAATAAATTATCACATTTTGGAAATGCGGTGTAGGAATGTTATCTCTTCAACAATCTCAGGCTCGAACTCGTGACATTGCGGAGGTGGCTATGGCAGCGGCAGCTGCGTTAGAAGCATTGTTGTTGAAGAATGCGAAAAGGCCCGATCCAATGGCTTCTTGTTCTTCAAGAAACAGATCTTCGGGAGCACGAAACGCTCCGTGGATGGCCACAGCCATAACCCCAATGGCCAGAGTGGACATCAAGAGCGATCCAACGCTGGTCATGAACATGACCACCACAGTGGAGAGGCAGAGCATCCCTAGCGTCTCAAGATCGGAGAACGTGCGTCCTCCGATGACCAACGGCTGATCAGATGGACGGAAAAAGTAGAGGAAAAGCCAAGAAGCGGCAAGCGATGCAAGGAGGAAGAGAGCGAAAGGGTGCGTGAGCAGAGACGCGGCGAGTAAGATGGCCACTAAGGTTATGTAATTGGCCCGGAAGTAGGAAAAGTTCTTCCTTACTCGTGACGTTGCCTCCGAGAGCGATGGTGGCCGGGAAAATGCTGACCGGTCAACGAGCTCTGCCCAGGGCCGGGCATCGGCAGAAGCGTGACGGACAGAGGCTAGAACTCGGGACAAAAGGACGCGTAGAGAGCTCAGCAACTGTGGATCGCCGCCGGGAAGATGATCAGGAGTAGTCGAAGTCGGGAGAAGAGGAGAGGCCATTGCAATTTGCAGCAGATCTACTTTGCAGACAAAGTCAAGAGGGCAGGGAGAGATCTAAAAGTGAATGGCTTACACGATTTGCTGGCTTTACTTCAAACTGTCGGCTACGATCACATGTGCTTTTGGGTCTTTCTTTCTTTTTAAAGAAACAACATAAAAATATTCCTCTCTTTGTATGCACCTTTGTTTGTTTATTACATCATTTGTTTGCCCACATATAGGTTTCTTCACTTTCATATACTCCTACGTAACCGCTTCAATTCATTGTTAACTAAAATCCATAGAAATTGTGCAAGTTTCTTTTAAACCTTAGTTGAGCTTTATTTTACCTAGTATTAAACTCTTTGTAAATATTTCATATTTTAATAGTTAATGGTATGATACTATTTTATTTAAATTTAAGATACCAAATTTAAGATTTTTCTTTTACATTACAATTTTTTTTCGCAAATTTCTATACAAATTTATATGTATCTGATAACTTATGACTATTTTTTTTTTTTTTATGATTGGTTGAAATTATTTAAACTATTTAAGGATGTAAACATTGTAGCTGCAGCGGCAGCAAATGAGAGATATAATTGCGGGGGTTTTCATAAGTATCTAAACCAAGAGCCAAAGTTTATTTTGCAGCCAAGTTTCATCTTAGCAAACATATCACCAAAACAAATAAATAATACTGTATGAAAATAAAGAAAAGCCAACAAGAATTTAAAAGGCCTCGGGGTTGCCGTTGCCGCAGCAACTGATGTATCAGTGTCACCAACCTCGCATAGAGTAAAGGAACATAGCTCCAATAATCGCAAACCATACTATTGGTACAATAAAAATAAAGAACCTTAATTTGGGCCTAATCAGTTGGATAAAATCGCATGTCCAATTATATGTCTCTGTTTTTCCTAATAACCTTAAAAACCTTTGTGTTATTTTTGCCAACAAAATTCAAAAACCTGAGGTGTGACCTCTTTTTGGAGTCGGGATTTGGTGTTTATGTTTTCCTTCGTAAGTTGTGATCACTGATTTGGGATCTTGAAATGCTCTCTCAACGTGTTTCCTTACACCACATCCTGTAAATGTGCACTTGTAATAGCTCCTGCACATCACACATTTAACTAACTTATGGCTCAAGAAACAAGCCTCCTCTTCATTCAGAATTGAGAAAACGAAAAGAAATTAAGCACACCTTGGATTGGGATTACCCTTGACAACTTTCTGACCATACTTTCTCCATCTGTAGCCATCGTCAAGAATGTCTATATCACTTGTTGTCTGAACCACTACTCTTGGCTCTTTCACATTCTCTTCTCTTTTCCTGCCCATTCACAACATATCCAATCAGAAATCTCATTGTTTCCTTTTGATTCCAGTTACTTAATTATGACTCTTCTTACCATCTCTTGGCGTCGGCTTCATCTTCACCAATGTCTTTACCGTCTCCATGACTGCTGTTTTGATGCGCTGCTGCAGTGGTGGAAGATGATCGCTTTGTGGATTGGGGCTTGGGATGATTGTGGCTTCCTTTATAGACAATCTCAGTTATCTGACCCTTCACAAGAGACGTCTCCACTTTCTTTTTTGTAAGACAATTTGGATACGTGCATTTGAAGTAACTCCTCGGGTTTTCGCTTCCTTTGACTTGCTTCTGCCCGTATTTCCGCCAATTGTAGCCGTCATCAGAGGTTTTGTTCCTTGACATGATTTCAGATTTGGATACATCCAGTTGGGGTAAAGACTGAGTTACCATCTGAAAATGAGATAGTCTGAAACTAGAATGTCTTAAGAGATAATAAACCAGAAGCTAAGAATGCAAGAATAAGTCTTACAGATGGTAGGAACAATGGAGGAGATGTGTGGTTGTTATTGAAGGAAAAATCTAATTGCTCCTTCACATCATATTTGATTTCATTCTGCTCAATGAGCAAACCGTTGTTCTTCCAGTTCAGAGATTGCGCCGGAAATGTTCCTGTCGTTGGAGACGGCAAAATCTGTGATTTTAGGATCAAAAGAAAGATATTTGTAAGGAATCCGACATAAATACAATCTTTAGGATTAAGAGTTAGAGAGAGAGAGAAGAAGAAGAAGGGAAATGAACGAATCAAGAACCTTGAATTCTTTTTTCACAATCCGCAAGAAAAGGACAAAAACAATCATAGTTTTGAACTGATAGATATGATTAAGAGAGAAGGAAATAGATAGATACGTTAGAGGAAGTGAAGAGAAGAGGTGAGTCGAGAAAGTCGGCGGGAGTAAGGCCAGGAGGCATAGTGAAGTAAGGCGAAGGAGAGAGAGGGAGCGGCGATGGAGTTGCTGTTTTGAATTTCGGGACAGCTCTTTGGCGATCGATAGAGCCCATCAATGGTTTACGTATGGGATACGCTTTCTTCTTCTTCCTCTTCTTCCTAAATTAAATTATGAGTTGCATAGAAGAAAGTTTCCAAGAAAAAGCAAACAATTATAAAAGATAAGCTTGTGACTAAGTGTGAAGCGTGTGTATTCAAAACACCAAAATGTTTGACTTTTTGTTAAAGGCGGCTGAATTCACATCACTTTCAAGAGCCCTTGAGGTCTTCTTCCAAACTACTGAATGCCAAAACAAATAATATCTATTTCTCATCTCTCAACAACTAAAAGCGCAAAGCAAAGGAGGAGACTAAGCAAAGGAGTGGACTAAGCAACTGTCATCTGATTTAAACGGTAAATCACCAAAAAAATCCACCATACAAACATTACAAAACGCTCTACTCAGCTATTTTTTTGATGGGTTTTGGAAGCCAACAACATAAGAAAAGAAATAGGCTCACAAACTGAGACAAGCAGCGAGTCTATTACAGAGTAAAATCGAAACGGTTTTGATGATTCAAAGCAGTTGGAGTTTTAAGCAGCTTGTTGGGAAGCAAGTCTCTTCCTGGCTTCCTCAATGATGGTCAGCTTAATACCTTTGCCCTTTGGAAGAGACATCCATGGCTTTGTTCCTTTCCCGATGGTGAACACATTACCCAACCTTGTGGCAAACTCATGTCCTGTTGAGTCTTGAATGTGTATCGTCTCAAAGCTTCCCTTATGCTTTTCCCGGTTCTTGATCACACCCACACGCCCTCTGTTTCGGCCTCCAGTCACCATCACAACATTACCCACGTCAAACTTGATGAACTCAACAATCTTGTTCTCCTCAAGGTCCAGCTTGACGGTGTCGTTTGGCTTGATGAGCGGGTCAGGGTAACGGATGGTGCGACCATCATAAGTGTTCAAGAAAGGAATTCCCTTCTGACCAAACTGGATAGATCTAACTTTGCAAAGCTTGAACTGCACATTCAACCATAAAAAAAGACTCATCAATCTTCTAATCCCAATCACCACTTCTAATCCCAATCAAGATCTAAGAAGAAAGTGCAACAAACCTTTGCTTCCTCATCCTTGATGGAGTGGAGACGGAAACGTCCCTTGGTGTCGTAGAGAAGACGGAAGTTCTCATTGGTCTTGGGGATCGATACAACATCTATTCAAACCAAAATTTCAACGTTTAGGTCAGTGATCAAATACATAGACAAAAAGGGCAAACATAACCGAAAAATAAGAAAGGACATACCCATGAAGCCAGCAGGGTAAGTCTTGTCAGTCCTAACTTTGCCATCAACTTGGATATGCCTTTGCATCAAGATAGAGATAACTTCACGGTAAGTCAAAGCATACTTCAACCTGTTCCTGATGATCAGGACAAGAGGAAGACACTCCCTCGACTTGTGAGGTCCAGAAGATGGTTTGGGAGCCTACACAAGAAACAGCACAAAATGATCAACCAATATTACAGAACAATGGTCTTAAAACACACAAGATTGATAAGGCAAACAACTTACGAAGGCACCACCAAGTTTGTCAAGCATCCAATGCTTAGGAGCATTGATCCTCTTTAGATGCTTCTTCAATCCTCTTGCCTGCAAAATCACATTTGATGCATAAAAGGTCAAAACAATCAAGGCAAAGTCATCACATTTGATAGAGCCTCATCAAAAGGAGGCTACCCAAAAGCTCAATTGTAAAAAATAACACAGTCTGTAACATTACATTCAACAAAATTCTGCAATCGAACCCACACAAAACTAAACATACGGTCTACGGCATGAAACGAGGAAACTAGAGTCGCCATTGTCCTAAGAAACTAACAAAAACGCCCATAATTGAATATCCATGTAAAAAGATGCAACTGAACAGAAGAGACTAAACACACAAATTGGGAGAAAATCAAGAAATTGAGCAGACGAACCATGTTTGCAGCTGCTCTGATTCCACTGCGGCTACGATTACAATATATATATATATATATCACAAGAAAATAAACTAAAACCCTAGTTGTTTTCCTATTGGGCTTATTTATTTAGGCCCATTTTGACACAAAAAAAATAGTTAGGCCCAAATAGATTCCGAAATTTAACCAAGGGGCCTCCTGAGTCAAAAATCCCATAAAATGATCTCATCTTTTGGTATCGGGAACTTGATTTGTCGAATTGATTAAGAGCATGATTATAGGTGGTTTCTTAAGTAGTTCTTAAGTTAAAAGCTGGATTAAATTAAATTGAAAGTAATGTATAAAACTAAGGAACATTTCTTAGGTAAGAGACAGTTAAGAGGTGCCGCATGGCACGTTAGCGTTGGGTGTTTTTTTTTTTCCTTTTTCTCTCTCTCAGAAATCGTGAATGCGAAAAAGAGGAATCGGAGGCGATTTGCGATTCTTACTCGAATCGGAGGAATCTCCGACGCGAATGACCTTCGGCCGTCGTTCTTCTGTTAGGCCAACTTCTCCACCGTCTCCGGTTGTCCACGGCGTCTTCGGTTCACCAAAGCAGCGACGTTGGGTTGCGAAATCGGGGAGATTCTCCGAGGTCTCAGTCACCGGCGAGAGCTGCGAGTCAGCCTTCGCCGTCGAAGCGGAAAACGGAGCATTCTCCGTATAGGAGGAATCCATTGGGTGAGATTGATCCAAACTCTGTAGTGTTTCCTCTCTCTCAAGGTGATAAATTGGGTTCTGGTAACAACAATTGCAACAAAAGGATGATGAACAAAGACAATGAAATTGCTCAGGTATTGTTGGAATGAATTGGAATTAGGAGATTTTAGTGTTTGTGTATTAGAAGTTAAGGTATTTGGTATTGTTGGAGTGAATGTTTATAATGTTGTGTGTTTTCAGAAGGTGAATCCTGTGATGAATACGAAACCTGCTACTCAAGCGCCAATCCGAAGAACCGCAAGTCCGAGTCGTGCCATCAAAGAGCAACAAGAGGCAGTGGAAGGGTGTAAGATAGGGTTATCATCGGTAACTGAATTGGTTGAGCCTCAAATTGTGAGCATGAGCAGATCTTTGAGGAAATCTCGTGATTTCGATTTCAGTCCCGAAGCATTGCTCTCAAACAATATCGACATCAACAATGTTAACAGTAACAATGCGACTGCATGATCAACATTTCCATCTTATACAGCTTTGCTTTTAGAAGACATTCAGAATTTCCATCAGAAGAGTGTTAATGTTAGTGCCTTAAGTTCATCTATGTCCAAAGCTTGTTCTATTGTTGAAGCAGTTGCAGATCTTAACTCCACTACAAATCAACATCAAAGAACCGAGGTCAGTTTCACATCCGCAGCAGCGAAGAAAGTTGATCTAATGGAGCCAAGCTTTGAGAAGTATGTTACTGTTAAGAGAGGAGCTGCTATTCCGGAGGACTCTCATGACTGCATTGTAGCTGACCCTTAGGAAGTCAAGTGCTCACGGTGGTGTGACCAAATTGTCTCCATGAAAGTGCTAAGCTCATTGAGAAGCGTGTGCAGATCATAACATCAATTTGCTAAAGTTCCAAGTGTCAAGAGTCTTGGTGAATGGGCTGGTAAGTCTTTATGTTTTCTCTGCATATATCTTATTAAGGTAAAGAGATTATACTCAAAATGTCCATAGCTTGATGTAGATCCAGGTGATGTGTCTGGCCATCACACTTGTGGGTTTAAGAAGAGAGCTAGAGAAGTTCAATGAAGCAGTTTCCGAAGAGATTTGTGTCAAAGGGATGTTGTGCTTTGATCCAACTCATGCAATGTTTGAGTCCATTCATTTGCTTATGTTAAACGTATGAAATATTATTAAGTAATGTCTTCGACTTTCTAGAATGTGTTCAATGTGTTTTTGTTGTAGAAAACACGAAATTTGTGTCTTGTATAGGCCAAGTAGAAGACACCAAATTTCTGTCTTGATTATGTTTTTGAATTACATACATTCTTCATAGTAATTGGATTTGGTGAATTACATAAACTGTGATTATGAATCTTTGTTTTGCATTTGAGAAGTTGTTGATGTGATTATGAACTCTCCAAACACCAATTACACCAAATATACCAAACACCAATTACTTTGTTCCAATACAGCATATATGTTAAAAATTTATGTACATCATGCTCTAAGAGCCTACCATTAATCACACAAAAATCTTAACACAAAAAAACTATCTCTTAACTATCACTTTTACAAATATATTACTTAAATATTGCTAAGAGATATTTCTAAGATACTACTAATAATCATGCTCTAAAGCGAAACAAAAAGTCAAAAGACAAAATTGTACGAGGTTTTGAGTTTAGGTTATTAAATCGGTACATTGATTTTGTTATACGGGTTAGGTTTTTTTTTGGCCCTAGATTGTGTTTGTATACTACAGTATTATCATTAGAGCTAAATGTTTTTCATCTAAAATTGACTTTAAAAAGTTCAAGCTTGTCCTGGAATTTTGGCATCGGGTCTTAGAAACAAGATTTGTTGCTGAGGTGGAGTTAAATTATTGGTCGGTAAAAACTTACTTTTACAAATGTGTACAGCATAACAAGCACCAAACAAAAGATTTAGAGCCAAATACAACGATTTCAAAACAATTTATGGTTCTCTTTTTAATACAATCAAGATTCAAGCATGGCCCTTTACATATTGTGAATTACATTCACCGCCTGCTTATCATTTCATATATTAAAGACTTAGGGGATTCATGTGTTCCTTGAAGTTGTCCATTACAGGTTTGGGCAACGTGACTAGCACTCTAACACCACCGTGCTTCCTCGGCAAGAAAATGCAAATATCCGGTAGATACTTGGGAACCAATGGTATAATATTCACCGATCCTCCATACCCAAAATCAATTTCGTCTAGCAATCCAAGTTGCCTCCAATCAGTAAGCAACATGAACGCTCCGTTCCCTCCTTCACACGCTACCTTCATCTTCAACGTTTTCTCTGTCTCTCTTAGCTGCTCCAACACGTACCTCTTCTCCAGCGCCGCTTTCTTAGCTTCTTTAATGAGCTTAACAACATGAGACAACGGTGAGTTGCTCAACTCTCCAGCCTTCATTGCTACGTTGGCTTTGACAAATGCGTTCCCGTAGTAGCCTTCCGGTAACGGTGGCTCCACAATGCGGCGTATACCCACAGCCATTCCGAAAAGAGAAGTCCCATTTGGACTTAGCTTCAAGGCTCGGCACCTTGATCTCCAGACGTGGGCTGCAAGAATCTCTAGAGTCGTGACCTCCCCCGCAACCTTCTCCTTGAGCTGAGTGATCTCTTGGGATGTCACGTTGAGGATCTCACATACCATGTCGTTAGTGGGTGTGTAGGGGGAAGTTGCCACAGAAGAGCAAGCCTCTCCGAAGTCAACCAGCTTGGGAGCTTGTCCCTCCTCCACTTGCCCTACTTATATATATATATACAAATGTTAGGTCGTAATTAATCTCACATCATATATAAAATAAAATATATTTCAAAAATATATAAAAGATATGGCCAATCTAGTTTTTGTCAACTGATCTGAAACTATCAAGATGATTAGTAATGCGTCTAAATCTCAAAGAAAATATATTTAGATGATATTAGTTAACATATACCGTTTAAGCTAAAGTTGTTAGAGGTGAGACGATGTCTTTCCCAAACGGGGATGATGCTAGGTTGTATATTTCCCGCGGCGAGCTCAGTTAAGGCTTTGAAAAACTGAGACGCTCCAAAACCATCACACAAGGAATGAGAGAGAGCCGTTGCAAGAGTGAGACCTCCACATGCAAACAGAGTGATTTGCAAAGCCAGAGGGTTGTAACCACCAGAGGCCACAGCTACATCACAAGGTACTAGTTGGTATAAGTCAGCGTCCATGTCCTTCAAATAGTTGAGGGAAGAGAGAGTGCAGTCCGCGGTCGCCCTAACAAAGGGGACTCCTTGCGCGGGACTGCACCTCAACTCTAATCTATGGTCGTGGGATCCACGGTGAAGTTTTCCAGCGAGAGGGTAGTAATAGACAAGAGCATCAGAGAGAGCTTGCTGAAAAAGGGAAGCTGGATCGTGGACGTGGTCGTTCGGGGGTGGGGCGTAGACATAGATGGTTTTGGCGAGGGTTTCGAGGTAAGGATCATTGTCGAATGTCGAGAGAGAAAGAGAGACATCAGGGGTTGCCTTTGAGGGTTTCACTATAACCACTTGCGATTTCTTCACCACCAAGGGACTCGGTGAAGTTATGCCTTGGCTTCCCATCTCGATTTCTATATCACATAAATATATTTGTGTGTAACATTTATATATAGAGAATTTGTAAGAAAATATAGAGGATGTGAGTTGGTAAGATATGACTTTGAAGATTGGAAATGGAAACTGCAAAGTCAAGTATTATTTTTCTATACATAAAAATGTTTGGTTTATCCTAATCCCTTTCAACACTTTTGTATTGAAAAAGAAGTATTGGCTCTTTAATAACTGGAGCTATATATGAAAATGGAGAAACGGGGAAGTCAAATACATCTATGGATACGTTGATTTGTGTGAGAGAGAGAGAGAGAATGAGCAAAACGCGTTTTTGTGTTGTGGTGGTGGTAGACTAGTCCTCACGTATTCATCAGTACTCATCATCATTCTATATAAATATTTCCTAGTGGCTTTATTTAATTTACATTATCTTATAAAATGTGTTTCTGTTTTGGAGAACATCAACATCAGATCTTTTGAAACCGCAAAATAAAGAAAAGTTTAGTAATTGGCTTGTTGGGGGCAGTCATGAAGAGCCACGTACGATCACATGGTCACATAAAGAGAGACTTTAGAAAATGATCATCAGTCAGTGGTTGGGACACGGAAATTCTATGCTGCGTTGTACCATCTAATGTTGAACAGCTCTTCTTCTCCATATGCAATAGTGTTTGAAAGTAATCATTAATTTGGATTTTGGGTTATCTTTCTTTTCTGAATTTCAACTTAACACTATACCAGCGCAAAAGCATCCCAATGACCTCCGCAAGCTCCTTGTTATCGCTTTCTATGATGATTAACATATACCTATGAGGCTATGACTCCAAACCATCTGCAGAGCATATATATCATCGCCATAGCTTCGTCTTAGAGACTATTTCTCCTTAAATTCTAATTTGGTCCATCCACACTTTATGATTGTACCATTATCAACTCTTCTTATGTTGAGATATCTTCTTTTCTATTTGCTAAAGCGTTATGTTGAGATATCTTTTTATAAATTTCATTTACATTTTGGTATGTGACATTTTTTAAAAAAACTATGTAGAAGAGTTTGATTAATTTTTTTTTCTTAACACACTCTATCAGAGTTTTCATTTATTATGATCCTCATAAATCTTAAGAAATTTATTCATTGCACAGCTTAACTTAAAATGTGGATAAATAAATGATATTGATCGAGATGTGATGTTTCTAATGCAATCTTAAAGCTATAGGTTTAATCATTTATTTTTGCAAAAATCCCATTAGATTCATCAGTAAGGTTGTGGTTTTCACGATCACGAAATTAGTAACATCACATTTTGAATATTTCCTAGTTATATAATATAGATAATTCATAACTATGATTTAAGGCTCATCCGAAACAAACCGAGATTTGAAATATGTAATTTTCGGGTTGTTTCTTAAAGAATCACGAATTGAAAATGTTGACCAAGTTCATTTTGTATTTCAATTAATCCATGGATTAAATCTTAACAAACAACTGCTTTAAAATATTAGGTTTTATCGTTGGCACAAATTAAAAAAAGGAGGCTTTATCGTTTTAAAATCACAAAATAAAAGTTACTAATTGTTAACCAAAAGGGAAAAAACAAATAAAAAAAAACACCAACGATCGCCGACCAAAAAAAAAAAAAAAAAATCAAAGATCAACGGCGCATAGTAGCGCGTTGACGAGCCCACGAGCAACAAATACCCGCTGCCTATTCACTTCCACGCAACTATTTAAAAAAAAAAACCTAAAATGTTAGATTTTCCGTTTTGTTAAAATAAAATCCCAAAAATAAAAATTATAGAATTTAGACAGAGGAGCAGAACTGAGTCCACTAGTCAAAACAGAGATCCGTTCGTCCTCTTTTGTCTTTCGGATTCATTTTTCAAATCGGTTTCATCAAAAGAGAGAGGTTATTGATTCTTCTTCCTTTCTCTTTCGAATTGGTTTCTCTTGGTCTTGCTTCTCAATCTTTTTGTTACAGGAGATATCGAAATCGGTTTTTTTTTTTTTTTTGTGTTGTTGGTCTAAAAGGTTAGACTTTTAAGTCCTGATCCAATTGTGCTTTTTGGTTTTTAAAACCCCGTTTGATTCAGTAGTAGTTAACCTGACTTGATTTGGATTGCTAGTAAGGATCAACCAACTGGGAATAAGACTCAAATGTTTTGAGGTAGCAGTTTGAAGTTTGTAGATTTTAAGGATGGAGAACAAACCAAGTGTATTAACTAAAAGATATGAAGTTGGGAGGTTATTGGGTCAAGGTACTTTTGCTAAAGTTTATTATGGAAGGAGTATTCATACCAACGAGAGTGTAGCTATCAAGATGATTGACAAGGACAAAGTTATGAGAGTCGGGCTTAGCGAGCAAATCAAGAGAGAGATCTCTGTGATGAGGATCGCTAAACACCCGAATGTCGTGGAGTTATACGAGGTTATGGCAACAAAGTCGAGGATTTACTTTGTTATTGAGTATTGTAAAGGTGGTGAGCTTTTCAACAAGGTTGCAAAAGGGAAACTTAGAGAGGATGTTGCTTGGAAGTATTTTTATCAGCTTATTAGCGGGGTTGATTTTTGTCATAGTCGCGGAGTGTATCACCGCGACATTAAGCCAGAGAATCTGTTGTTGGATGACAATGATAATCTTAAGATATCTGATTTTGGTTTAAGCGCGCTTGCTGATTGCAAGCGTCAAGATGGTCTTTTACATACAACTTGTGGTACACCTGCTTATGTTGCGCCCGAGGTTATTAACCGAAAAGGATATGATGGTACGAAAGCTGATATTTGGTCTTGCGGTGTTGTCTTGTTTGTTCTTTTGGCTGGTTATCTCCCTTTCCATGACTCTAATCTAATGGAGATGTATAGGAAGATAGGTAAAGCAGAGTTCAAGTGTCCCAGCTGGTTTGCCCCTGAAGTAAAGAGACTATTGTGTAAGATGTTTGACCCTAACCATGAGACTAGAATCACTATTGCAAAAATCAAGGAGAGTTCTTGGTTCAGAAAAGGTTTGCATTTGAAGCAAAAAAAGATGGAAAAGATGGAGAAACAACAAGTCAGAGAGGCTACTAATCACATGGAAGCTGGAGGTTCAGGTCTAAATGAAAACAGAGAAAACCACGAGCCGCCTCGGCTTGCTACCTTGAATGCTTTCGATATTATCGCATTGTCTACGGGGTTTGGTTTGGCAGGACTTTTCGGGGACTTATATGACAAGCGAGAATCTAGATTCGCATCTCAAAAACCTGCTTCAGAGATCATTTCTAAGCTAGAGGAGGTTGCCAAGTACCTGAAGCTGAAGATAAGAAAGCAAGGCGCAGGCGTGTTCAAACTGGAACGATTAAAGGAAGGTAAAAAAGGGATTTTGACGATGGATGCAGAGATATTCCAAGTGACACCAACGTTTCACCTGGTGGAAGTGAAGAAATATAATGGAGACACAATGGAGTACCAGAAGTTAATGGAGGAGGATCTTAGGCCTGCTCTGGCAGATATTGTTTGGGTTTGGCAAGGAGAGAAGGAGAAAGACGAGCAGTTACTGCAGGATGAACAAGGAGAGCAAGACCATTGTAGCTAGACTTCATAGAAAACAGAAGCAATGACAAGAATTGTAGCAGGAAACATGAAGAAGAGAAACACTATCGCGGCTTCAGAAGCATCAAGAACCTCTTAACGAACGATAGCCTGTGACAAACAAAAGCAGAGGAAGGAAAAGAGGAACAATTGCACAAATTGATTGATTCTTTACATAGAGTACAAAAATTGTAGATAGTTGATTGTTTGTAACAATTACGAGCTATTTTTTTTAACCTTGCATCTTGTGAAGTTTTGAACTTGTATTGTTTCATGAGTACAGTAATTGAATTTATTAAGAGTTTGGTTGATAAATAGCAGCAAGATTTGAGAAGTTGGTTTTGTAGAATTCTATGACAGGATTTAAAATGTTGTTTTAGTAAATAACATTTTTCCAGTTTCCATCTAGTCTTTTGATTCACAAACTATGATTGTTGGTAGGACATAACAACTTTGTCAATTAACTGACTAAGAAACTCAAAAAGTAGATCAAAGAAGAAAAATCAAGGAGTTGTTGAAACTTTAAATCCGAAGATGCCCCCGTTCTCAAGTGTTGTCTGTTGAAACATTGACTCTGAAAGAGAGGTATTTTCGTCTTTTCGTGTAAAAATTTGCAACAAAAAAAAAAAAGGCTAATTGAGTGATGAAATAATAGTTAACCAAAAAAATGCTAGAGAAATTGTTAAAAATGCCCCTTTTTCAATACCCCTTTTCAAAAATGCCCCTTTTGAGAGTCCATTTTTAAGTTTGCCCTCTTTTAATTTTTAATGACCATTTTACCCTTATTTGAAACAAAATTAGGTCCACAAAATACAAAATATTTTTTGGCGGGAAAAGTGATCCCGCAATTTTCCCGCCAAAACACTTGTAAAAACCTTTAAAATACCTTGTAAAATTTTCCCGTAAAAATTTTTCCCGCCAAAAAATTTTCCCGCCAAAAATTTTTTTTTGCGGGAAAAGTGATTCCGCAATTTTTTTGCCGAAATTTTTTTGGCGGGAAAAATTTACAAGGTATTTTAAAGGTTTTACGGAGTATTTACAAGTGTTTTGTAAGGTTTTACAATGTATTTTAAAAAGGTTTTACAAGGTACTTATAAGGTTTTATAAGGTATTTATAACTTGTAAAACCTTATAAAAAACTTGTAAAACCTTATAACTTGTAAAACCTTATAAAATAGCTTGTAAAATCTTATAATATCTTATAAATACTTTATAAATACGTTGTAAAACCTTTTAAAATACATTATAAACCCTTATAAATACCCTGTAAAAACCCTTTAAAATACCTTGTAAATTTTTCCCGCCAAAAATTTTCCCGCCAAAAATTTAACGCCAAAAAATTTGCGGAATCACTTTTCCCGCAAAAAAAAATTTTTGGCGGGAAAATCTTTTGGCGGGAAAAAATTTTACGGGAAAATTTTACAAGGTATTTTAAAGGTTTTACAAATTTTTACAAGTGTTTTGGCGGGAAAAATTGGGGGATCACTTTTCCCGCCAAAAAATATTTTGTATTTTGTGGACCTAATTTTGTTATATTTCCTTATATATTTATGATATCTTTTATTAAAAGAAGGGTAATTTAGTCATTTTGTACATAAAAGGGGTATTTTTAAAAATGGACATCCAAAAGGGGCATTTTTGAAAAGGGGTATTGAAAAAGGGGCATTTTTGTGAGTCTCCCAAAATGCTAATGAAATAGTACTAATCTATATATACATTTTTGAATGACTTTTAGCAAATAAATCCTAGAGTTGGACCTTATTTACGGATGAATGCCATTGGCATTAATTATTTAAATTTGAAAAATATTAATTAAAGATATTACCAACACGATTTCGAGAATCATAAATTCATATCTTCCTTAATTTTCTGAGTCATTAATGTGATAATCTTTAGGAAATATTTCTCTGTAAAAAATAAAATCCACATTAATGAAGGCATTAAAATCGACACTAACAATTAAATTATTTAGATATTCAATTATTTTAAGATTCTTATATCTTATTTGATATTTTTTTTTTAATATCTCATTCTTTAATTACTGCGTTTAGAATTTATTGGTTGTTACCTATTTTTTGGTGAAATTTATTGGTTGTTACTTAATAAGTAATTATGGTGCATTTATTTTAGTTAATATCTAATTTAAAGGATTTGTTTTCTTTTATTATTAATAAACGAATAACATGTATAGAAATAAAAGATTTTTCTTGCGACTCCATAATAAAAATATTAAACTCTTATTTTCTACATTTCTTACACATAATATCCTCTTATTCAATAACAAAAAATATATATTGCATATTTTTAAAAATATTTATAATATTTAAATTATATAAAAAGTTTATAATATTAATATTATTTCAACTCTATACAAATTTAATATATATGTATATATATCTTATGGGAACCATTTAAAAGAAATTTTTAAATTGACTTGAATTATATAGCTTTTAAATAAAAGTATTATTAAAAAGAAAAATAACTAAATGATGTTTAATTTCACGGGACGGGTAATATGATGGGACGGGTTTGGGTTGATATTTATAAAAGATAGTATACCACGAGTGAAATCCTAAAATTAATAATCAAAATAATCTATCAAACAAATTACATTTTGATTTTTTTTAAAAAATATAGTCCCGCGGTGTACCGCGGGTTAAAATCTAGTACTAATTCTACAAATTTAAAAACCAGCAAAAAGAATTGGATCTCATAGTATTTATTATTTATTTAGTTTGGCTGATTATTTATATATTTTTTATGATTTATGATTAATCGTGGGGATATCGTACGGACGAACAATTCGGGAGGAAGAGGAAGAGGAAGAAATCGCCGTTGGATCTGGTTTTGGTGGCCATCCACGAACTCATTTTGCTTGTTAAATAAGGAATTGTGTACCGATGATTTGCCTTAAATTTCGAATCTGAACAAGTTGGGTTTCGTGTTCTGGTGAAATTTATTCTATCGCTATTCGTTTTCCTCGTTCGAACGGTTTCTGGGGTTTTTCTGACGACTGCGATTCAAAATCATGAGGAAGAAGCTCGATACTCGTTTTCCTGCCGTAAGTTTTTTTTTTTTTTTTTTTACGTGTCAAATTTCATTTCTTTCGGCTCGATTGATTAATTTAATTGATTGGTTATTCCAAAGTTTAACACTTTTCTACGAATCCAGATAATAAATTATCAGGATTCTGAAATCAAAATTCGTATTTTTTGTTGATGAACTGTATCTTATGTGTCTCTGTTTCGATGCCCTGTTTTTGTTGGTTTTCTTTTGACAGATTTTATGGTCTCTGAAGCTATAAGATTTTGAAAGCTATCAACTTTTTAATGATGCTTGAGTCTTTTACTTACCCTCTGTTCCCTGATATCTGCAAATTTCAGGCTCGTATAAAGAAAATAATGCAAGCTGACGAGGATGTTGGCAAGATTGCTTTGGCGGTGCCTGTCTTAGTTTGTGAGTCACAATACCACAGGAGTATTATTTACCTACTACAATTTGGAGTTGTTTAAATCCTTTCACTAACTTTTTTCATGTATAAACCTATTACAGCAAAAGCTTTGGAATTATTCTTACAAGACCTTTGTGATCATACTTATGAAATTACTCTTCAAAGAGGAGCCAAGACCGTTAGCTCATTACACCTGTAAGTTGATTCCTCATACATCTTTTTTTTTTTATATAGCTTCTTACTGCACACTGCTCATTTGTCACTGCCTTAGGACAAGATCGATTATTATTTTAACGCATCTAAATTACTTGAAATTTCAGATGCTATATTACCATTGCTTATGTCACAGAATTTTATCCCATTACATTTTTTCTCCAGCCTTCCTCATGTTTAGCACATATTTTTCATAATACTACATCCAAATTCACTGATACTGTATGTCTATTTTTTTCAGAAAAAATTGTGTCGAAAGATACAATGTGTTTGATTTTCTGAGGGAAGTTGTCAGCAAGGTTCCTGACTATGGGCATGGTCATGGTCACGGTCACGGTCAAGCCAATGCTGATGTAACCATGGAGGACCGCAGTATCTCTAAGAGAAGGTTGGATCTATGTTAATATTTCTTAGCTCCATATTCTTCTTGGTTTATTTTTCTGGATTCCGTGTTAATGTGATTTACTTTTCTGATTGGCCAGGAAGCCTACCGGTGATGAAGTTAATGACAGCGATGAGGAATTGAAGAAAACTAAAGTGGTGAGCGTTTCTTTCTGCTCGCTTTGTCTCTTTTCTTAAAGACACTATCATGTTTATGAATGTGTCTTGATGTGATGCTTGGTGTTTTGTGATCACTGCAGCAAGAGATGGGGCATGCGGGACCCAGTGGAAGGGGTAGAGGCAGAGGGCGTGGAAAGGGACGCGGACGAAGTGCAAAAACAGCGGAAAGGGAGCTTCTTAATCGCGAGATGGAAATAGAACCAACCATATTGGTAGCATCACCACTACTTACCCTAGACGAAATCAAGATACCTGCACCACCACAACAACTGACTCTGCAAGACAGTGAGAAGAAGGATGTGGATGAAAGGTCTAACCACACAAAGCAAGAGCTGCAAAGTCCCAAAAAAGAAGGTAACGACACAAACTCAGGGTTGGGTCGGGGTTTTGATCTGAACACACACTCACTCGACATCGAGTTGAAGCCGCCATTAATCACAGCCTCAATAGAATTGAAACCTGCAGAGGAATATCAGTGTTGGTCTACCCCAAATATGGCCAATGTTGATCTAATGCAGCTTGCTAATATGAGTAAGAGGTTAGACGAAGACGAAGAAGATTATGACGAGGAGGAAAGTTGATACTGAGACCACAGGCTCGTTAGCGGTATCGAGGTTGGGTTTAGTAGGAAACATGATGTAGAGGATTAAAATAGACTAGCAGCATTAACAATCTGTTTATGTAGAAAATGTATCATTTTTGCTATTGCTCTTCTTTTCTTGCATATTTGTTGTAGATGTTGGAGAAAATACTGTAAAGTCTAATTAGTAATTATTATCTCCAAAGTCTAATCCTATTGGGCCAGTTTAAAGCCCAATAGTTTTGTGCGAAAAAGGCTAATTTGACATTTTTTGTTAACCCATATATAAAGAGACAAATTCCAAATCGATTTGGACTTTTGCCCTATAAGAGTAGCGGCGTCACGAGATTGATATCTAGTGAGTAATCAAAGAGAATGGCTCACAGGGATCATGGAGCCGATTTCCCAATCACCTGCGAATCTTGCTTCGGAGACAATCCGTACGTGCGAATGGTGATTTCTCGCTCCCATCTCTAAGTTTTTGTAGCGTGGCTTATTGATGTTTTCTAGTATTTTAGGTTTAGGTAGTTACCAAATTCTTCTAGTTGTAGCGTGGCTTGTTGATGTTTACTAGTACCGTAGCTTGCACCGCACGTTTTTTGTTCTTCAAACCCTGATGAAGTTGTTGATTATATGTAGACCCGAGCGGATTATGATAAGGAATGCAAGATATGTAGACGCCCTTTCACAGCTTTTAGGTGGCGACCAGGCCGGAATGCTAGATTCAAGAAAACCGAAATTTGTCAGACTTGCTGCAGGCTGAAAAATGTATGCCAAGTCTGTCTTCTGGATCTCGAGTTTGGTCTTCCTGTTCAGGTCAGAGACACCGCACTCCAAATTAATAGTACTCATTACTCTATCCCAGAGAGCCATGTCAACAGAGAGTACTTTGCTGAGGACCATGACAGAAAGGTATATATGACCGACCATGCATTCTTCTTTTTCTTTTTTACTAAACTGTCATATTTTCAAGTGTTCTTAGGTTATATAACCAACCATTATGAATGATTGATGACTAATTCTAGTTTCCTCATGGTGGCTTTTGATATTTTTTGTAGACTGGAGCTGGACTGGATTATGAATCTTCATTTGGGAAGATGCTACCTAATGTACTATTTCAAATCTTCAAAGAACAACACCATACTATGATAGGAACCGGCCACGAGTTTGTAGTTTCTACACCATTGGTCAGTGTAAAAGAGGTGCCGAATGTTCATACCGGCACGAGATGCCCGAAACAGGAGAGCTATCCCAGCAAAACATAAAAGATCGTTATTATGGGTAAGATAATCGATCTTCTCGATTGCTTGACGTTTAGTTGCCTTCTCAAATGCTTGTTTGAATTGTTTCTCATATATACTTTTTACACATTCGCAGTGTAAATGATCCAGTCGCGAAGAAGTTACATGGAAAAGCTGGTGAGATGGGCACTTTGGAACCACCAGAGGATGAAAGCATCAAAACGCTTTATGTCCGTGGACTTAACTCGAGTATCCTCGAACAAGACATACATGACAAACTCTACGCTTATGGAGCTATCAGAGTCTTTGCCGAGAAAGGCTATGCGTTTGTCGCATTCAAAACCCGAGAAGGAGCAGAGAAGGCCATTCAAGAGCTCTCCAACAGGCTAGTTGTCAACGGTCAGAGGCTAAAACTCACATGGGGAAGACCTAAGGTCCCCAAACCTGATCAAAGTGGTTCAAACCAACAGCAACAGGGCAGTGTGGCTCATAGTGGTTTAATACCGCGCGAGAACCGCTATATCTCAGCAGCAGTACTATACGCACCCACCACCACCTAACCAATACAGACCTTATGACCCATCAATGGACCCGCAGAGAATGGGTGCAGTCATTTCAACCCAAGAGGGTGGTGGTTCAAGCACCAGTGAGAACAACGGAGCTTCTTCTTCTTACCCGATGCCTCCACACCAGCCAAACCTGCCACCACCATATGGATATATGACATGAAAATTAGTCTTAACGTTCTTAATTACTTTCGTTTTCAGTTCAGATGCTATTAAATTCTTGAATAACTCATTATTCCACTCTAAATTTGCGAGGACACGAAACCGCTTCTACTGTCATCCTGACCCACTCAACATACAAACATGGTGTCTCAATTGTATTAGAGATTGAATTCTAGCGTTTGATTAGAAAGGGTTATTTACTTTTGTGAAGGGGTAACTTAGCTTTTGAATGACTTTATAAAATCAAATGGTCCAGGTTCGAAGATTTAACTTTCATGTCACCTTAATGCCTTCTATGTCATTTATTTGCTTACCTCAAGAGTCACTACAATGATGCCTTCTATGATCCCCCTAATTAAACCCTCCCATTACCTGCCACGTGTCCCCTGCCCTTTTCCCCCATTTTTCCAATAAACAACTTTTGTTTCTTCTCGAATCATGCAAAAGTGCTTTATCACAGTTTTTTCCAAAATATATTTAAGGCATCTTTTTAGTAACTAAAATCAAAAGTGAGTTTATATGTTCAAAAAAATACTAATAATAATCAAAAGTGAGTTTCTGATTATTGGCTAGAACCTAGAACGTTGAGTTGTGGGTCGACATCTAATTATTTCAGAATGGATGTAAGTTTGTGTCACATAAAATCATATATTTGGAAAATCCGAAGGGAATAAACAAATGTATTACTTCATATGAACAAATTTAATAGTACGAACATATAGCGATTAAATCATCCCTAACTCATCTTTTGGTTAGCATGTTAACCCGTGCCATGGATCACCAAGACGGATAGAGATAGACAGATTTGTTCCACAATTTCATAATTTTCCTAGTGGAAGTGTCATCCAATTGGTTATGTATGATTTGTAGGTTTCGGCCTGATTTGAGTTCCAGACTAGGGGAGGTGAGATAGCTAATGATGTCTGCCAAGATACCTACATTAAACAAATAGAAAACTATGTCGTAACTACGTTGCAAATTACTATAAATACATTAGACCACTTCAATAGTTTTTACTCAACACACACAACTTAAAACATTATGTCGATGGAGGAGCTTAGTAGCTGTGAGAGCTTTCTCACAAGCTCTAAACCCTACTTCGCCATGATATCTCTCCAGTTTGGCTACGCCGGCATGAACATAATTACCAAAATATCCCTCAACACCGGTATGAGCCACTATGTCCTTGTCGTCTACCGCCATGCAATCGCCACCGCCGTTATTGCACCCTTTGCTTTCTTCTTCGAAAGGTTACATCCATTTCATTTCATTACATTCTTTGAATTTTTGTTCACCAAGAATCGATAAATTGTTAATGTTTTCTAACTCCGGATTTTTGTTTTACAGGAAGGCTCAGCCGAAAATAACGTTCTCCATTTTCATGCAACTATTCATTCTCGGCCTTCTCGGGTTTTTACTTTAACTAACTAATCACTGTCTCATTTTAACTACGTTGTTTTAGCAAAACCAAAGAAAGAGAATTAACATTTATATACGATAAACAAAAATTTACAGGCCAGTGATCGATCAAAACTTCTACTACATGGGGCTGAAATATACTTCCCCCACGTTCTCATGCGCCATGAGTAACATGCTTCCGGCCATGACCTTTATCTTGGCCGTACTATTCCGGTACATATATAAATGCACAAATATATTAGGTCACTGTTAAATTTTATGGCTTTCAACTCAAAACCGTTTGTTGTTTTCTCTCGGTAACTTATGGTTTTGATTATAGGATGGAGATGTTGGACGTGAAGAAACTGTGGTGTCAGGCGAAAATAGGCGGCACGGTGGTGACAGTAGGCGGAGCGATGGTGATGACAATTTACAAGGGACCCATCGTTGAGCTGTTTTGGACCAAATATATGCATCTTCAAGACTCGTCACATGCTAATCATACGACGTCGTCTAAGAACTCATCAAGTGATAAGGAATTTCTCAAAGGTTCCATCCTCCTCATCTTTGCAACACTAGCATGGGCCTCCCTCTTCGTTCTACAGGTATGTACACATAGAGAGAGACAAAATTGAGTTCGAGATTCTCTTTTTCTTTATATATATAATATATTTCTTTTTGTGTTTACGTCAAAAGAGTAGTTTTACATATTATTCGCTTATTGTGTTTTCTTTTTTGGTTTGGTTTATGTGATTAGGCAAAAATACTAAAGACGTATGCGAAGCATCAGCTTTCTCTAACAACACTAATTTGCTTCATCGGAACACTACAAGCAGTTGCTGTGACGTTTGTGATGGAACACAATCCCTCTGTTTGGAGAATTGGTTGGGACATGAATCTCCTTGCCGCCGCTTACTCTGTAACAACCTCACTTATTCTTTATTAATTTTGCACCAAAAAAAAAAAAATCTAATATATTGATAAATAAAAATAGGGGATTGTGGCATCAAGTATCTCATACTATGTGCAAGGGATAGTGATGAAGAAAAGAGGACCTGTGTTTGCTACTGCCTTTAGTCCTTTGATGATGGTTATTGTTGCTGTCACGGGTTCTTTTGTCTTGGCAGAAAAAATCTTCCTTGGAGGGTAAATATCCACTTTAATTTGCCCTTTTTCTCATTCTATTCATGCATGGTTATGTTGAATATCTCACTTAAGGCTTATCAATTGTTTGCGACATCCAGGGTGATTGGTGCAGTACTGATTGTAATTGGACTGTATGCGGTCTTATGGGGAAAGCAAAAGGAAAATCAAGTGACAATATGTGACGATCAATCCAAGATTGAGTCAAATAGTAAAGTAACTAAAGATGTGGAAGCTAATGGAACCGAAATGAAAATCTCGGAAGGTGATAACTCTATGCTGTCGACGATTGTAATCAGCGTTCCATTATCGGAAACACCTTTGAAAAAGACTATCCAAGAGCCATGAAGAAAGTATGGGGGAGAAGAATAAAGCGAAAGGTTGTTTTGGTCGAATCAGTGTATTTTTGTCTTTTAATTTTGACCTTATCTATGTAAGACAGTAAACATAAGAGTAAGAGCTCCAACTACTTTTTTTCTTTTGTAAACAAAGAGCTCCAACTTTACGCCTCTTCTTTTAAATAATACGAAGGCTTTTCACACACATCAAGTAATCCACTTTTCAAACTATTTCAAGTATGTATGTGCAAAGTTATAAAAACCTCAAAATCTAATCAATATTCAATTTCTTATTAGAAGAAAACTAGGTTATGTTTATCGTCAACGTCTTTTGTGTTTACAGTACATCGATCTAGCAGATAGAGAACGAACTATGGTTATAGAGAAATTATTGATTGGGGAAGGAGAGAGAATGGAGTTGGAGAAAAGAGACAAGAGCGCTTTAGAAGGAAGAAGATATGGATTAGCAGTTTCCGAGAATGTTTGGGGAAGAAGTGTCCTCCCGTGTTGTACACGCTATCAAAGAAGGTTTCAGTGTTCTCTAGATCAGCTAATGTTCATTGTACTAATTAAACATATACTTTCATCAGTGTCGCAAGAACGCAAGATGATGATCCATCAATGCTAATTTTGGGTTATCACTTGGTATGTGAATACGTCATCAATGCTAAGTTCATGATACTGAAACTATAAGTATTCCCAATCATCGTCTTTATCAATATTCTGATGTGTTTGCTCTCTTTCTTCTCCTTCTCCTCAAATCTTCTTCTCCTTGTGCATCGGCTCTTTTCTGCTTAAGATTCTGTGTCTCTCTTCATCCGTCGTAGCTACCTCTATTTCATCTCTTCTAAGATAAAAGCCTCATGAGCCTGTGAGAGAGACTCTCTCCTTGGTTGATTCCTTCTCAGTCTTGATAGACTCAATATCATCTTCATTCTTCGCTATCAAGTTTTTTAATCGAGAAAAAGGAAATAACTCAACACAGAAAAAAGGAAACAACAAATAAGATTTTTAGAAAAAAGGAAATTACAAAGAAGATTCAGAAAAAAGTAAACAACACAGAAAAAAAGGAAACTAGAGAGTTTCGAGCCTTCTCTTCTCTCTATGTGTAATCGTTTTTTCATCAAACAAACCAGAAAAACCACAGAGATTGAGAAAGAGTTACAGAGTGAGAGAGAGATTAAATTACAATCGCCAATTGCTCTGATTTTTTTATCATTCTCTTCTTCGATTCATGCTTCTATTTCATCTTTGAGTTCTTCGAATTTCATGATTTTTCTCTGGATAAATCTTTTCCGTGATGGAAGAAGATGATGCTCTGATTCTTCTTCTCCCTTTGTCTCTCGATATCATCTCTCAGTCTCCGTCGTCGGAGGAGGTTCAAAGACGTCGGATCTTGTTTATACTATCTTCGATGCTCTGGTTGAGGAGGATCATGAGAAGCTTTTGCGTTCACGGTGGTGGAGAAGAAGGTGGTGACGGACACGGTGGTGGACAAGGTCTTGGATTGCAATCTCATCTTCAGCCCAACAAAAAGCCCATTCACATGCCCATTAAAAATTTGAGGTCAATTTTTATCATTTTTTAATTTTTAAAAGTTTTTCAATATTACAGCTTTTTTATTTATTCTTTCTCACAGATTTTCAAATCTTTTCAAAACTTTTCATTTTTTTAAAAAATAGTTTTTAAAATTTTGATTTTGTTTCTTTTCGGATTTTAAAAATCTTTTCTTTCTCATGTTTGTTTTTCTAAATTTTTTTATTTTTTTATACTAAATTTGCATAATGATAGGAAAACTAACCGGATTTTGGATTCAGCATTAGTCGTTAGCGATTCCAAACATTCAACTTGTTTTTCCTATTGTTATGTAGATTTAGCATTCATGTTTTTAATACGGATTTTTTTAAAAAATATTTTTTAAAATTATGATTTGTTTTTTTTTCGGATTTTAAATTGTTTTTCTTTCTTTATGTTTGTTTTTTAAAAAAAAATTGTTTGTTTGGATTCTAAATTTGCATAATGATAGGAAAACTAACCGAATTTTGGATCCAGCAATAGTCGTTAGCGATTCCAAATATTCAACTTGTTTTTCCTATTATTATGTAGATTTAGCATTCAAGTTTTTAATTCGGATTTTAAAATTTTGATTTTGTTTCTTTTCGGATTTTAATTCGGATTTCGGATTTTAATTCCCCTAAGTGTCGGGGAAATCAAGTTTTTAATTCGGATTTTTAAAAACAGTTTTTAAAATATAGATTTTGTTTCTTTTCTGACTTTTAAAAACTTTTTTCTTGTGTTTGTTTTTTTAAAATTTCTTCTTTGATGTGAAATTTGTAATTTGATTTTGAAAACTAACCGGATTTTGGATCCAGCATTAGTCGTTAGAGATTCTAATTCAATTTGTTTTCCTATTATTGTTTAGATAATGCCATAATGGTTTTAGAGTAAGAAGTTCTCTAGAATAATATTCACACCTGTAAATTTTATTTTATTTTTGGAAAATTATATATATATATATATATATATATATATATATCAAATAAATAAAATTTAATGCTCATTGAATGAATATTTGAATTTATATAGATTCTACAATGTAAACTCCAAAATTAAAACAGGAAAAAAAAATCGAAAACCATGTTTCCCAAATTAATGTATTGATCACAGAATCAAAGCATATACGTAAATCTGTACAAAGATGTGATTTGATAACCCTACGAAGTACAAGTTACCAAATCTGGAATACCGATCGAATCTCTCTCAGTAAAGATGAAACCGAAATCACGAAATCTGGCTAAAGTAGGTAAGATTCAAAGGCTGATCAATACTAAGGTCGCAAACTCATGCAAAAAAAAAAAAATCCTAAGTTTTAATCTCTAATTTTTAATCAAATCGTTAGAACAATTTACGACCTTTATTGAGCTTTCAACTTCAATCCTAAAATATAACAAATTTTAACTCATTTCCATCTCAAACACACAAGGGAATAAGGAAAGGACCTTAACTTTCACCTAATTTGAAAGGCGAGTGGGATCAAATCGGACAATGGTGTGGCTAGCCTAGACGGAGCCGGTGAGTTCCTGCATAGAGGACATGTAGCACTTGTCCGGAGCCACTCATCAACACAATCAGTGTGGAAGCAGTGATTACATTCCGGTATACACCGAACCGGTTCCCTAGCCTCGTAATCACATAGACATATCGAACATGGGCCGTTGTTGGGCCTCGGTAATCTCCGGCTATCTCCCAACACTATCCTTGGATATGACTCTATCACCGGTCGGTCCAAACCGAGCTTCACTTCAGCCGCGGGCGACGGGGAGTCAAGAACTCCGTCACTTGTGGCTTCGTCTCTTCCTGTAGATTTTGACCTTATGCAGATGTATGAGGCCAGCATTATAAAGGAGATGAGAACTAGGATGCTTACGGCGATGGCTATACCGTAGCCAAGCCCAACCCCACTGGCCGGAGGACTTATAGGAGACATATATGTGGAGAGAGTGAGAGAGAGAGATAGAGCTAGAGAGAGACTAAAAATGTGGAAGAAGAAGAGAGTTTGTAGGAGAAGGGGACAAGTTTGACGTAGTCCGCGGGAAACACAATTAAATGGTGCTGCAGAACATTAATTATCTCACATATGTATATTTTATTTTAGATTGGTTATGAAGATATATGTAAATTGTCCTCCTAAAATCTTTCATCTTCTTATATTAGTATAATGGACCGTTGACTCTGGAGTTTTAGCACGAAAAACGACAAAATAAAAGTAGTCCTTGAAGTTAGTGTTTAACTAGTAACACAATTGTACAACCCTTTCAGCCATATATTTTTTGATGTGTACGAATTTCAAGGACATTATTATTAATTCAACTGTAAATTATCTTATCAATTAGATCTTGAAGTTCTTGAATGGTTCATTACGAATAATTAGTCTTGTTTATAGAAAAATCTCTTTTTTTAGAGTTTCCTCTTTTCCTATATATACCATCCACATTAGCCAAACCTTTTCTCTAGAAATACGTTGAATTTCGTCTCCAAATCTACAATGTTACAAACGTTACTGCCAATGTTCCATTGATCGATTCACTTACAATTTTAAAATCGTTGATGTTTAGACGTAATCGCCTTCATTTATTTATGCACTAAATAAAACATTTCTCAAGAGCCAAAACCAAACCCATTACAAAATACTATCTAAATAGTAAATACTCACTAAATAGGCGAAATCATTTCCTTACCTACATTTGAACCAAAAAAAAAAAGGATAAGGGAACAATGCTTTTTGTAAAAAGTTACCAAATCACTTTTTGCAAAAAAATTTGCATTTATAAAGAGAAGTTATGAAAAAGGGAATTTCTTTTGCAAAAAAAAATCAAAATCACAATTTTAGCATCATTTTTTTCAAATAGCTTCCAAACCTTTCTTTCATTCACGAAACTTATATCCAGTAGTATACCGCTTCTGAATAGGTATTGCACTTTAGTCACATTATATCATTCAGGCCATTTTAAGTATTTCACTTTGTCGATCCGGGAAGTTAAATTAATTATTCATCAAGTGAACTGAGTTGAAACCGAAGAACCGTATCAAATTCCCTTTGGGCCACATGTGATCAGCCCAATATTTGTATAAATACATTGTCAGAATAAATATACACTTAAAAAAAAATCACAAAAATACATTAGCCATGTTCTATTTTGTTATTGTGAATAGAAAAAAAAAAGTTTAGATTTTTGTTATTTATATCATGTGGGAGACAAGTATATTTTCCTTCTATTATACGTTGCCCATCAATAACTAATACCCCACAATAGTAGTGGAAATCTCAAGAAAGTAACTTTTGCACTATCGGAAGAGTAAAAGAAACAGATGAATAATTTACATTACTTGCCGACAGACACACTTTTACAAAGAAAAAGAAAAGAGTAATAATGGCATGCTTACAAAATAATAATAACTAAACCAGCACCCCAAGTTTTCACCGATCCGCATTATTGGAGATGCCGCAAGAAACAAGAGCGACACATAAAGTGGTAGTGATTAAGATCATATGGGAAACATTAAAGACAATCACTTTTTGTGTAAGAATTGTTGGATATTTGAAAGCATAACCCACTTTACATTTATTTAAATGGAGATAATAATATCTTATCTTTGAAAATAGGTTTAAGAGGTATATGAAAGAATTAAAATAATTGTGGAAAAGATTTCGAATCAATATCTTAGATTTTCCCCTCTAAAGAGGCATTGGGTATATACAGTGTTCTAAAAAGCGGTCTAGGCGGTCGCCTAGGCCCCGACTAGGCGCTAGGCTCTCATGCGACGCCTAGATAACCGCCTTGACCGCCTAAAATTACATAGATCTTGTTTAATGTATTTTTTCAATTTCAATTAGAGTTTTATTTATATATATAGTTATAAATATTCATATATTGTTTAATATAAATATAAATAAATATTTTATCTAATTTTTATTTATAATTTCATAATTTTTAGTTTTATATAGATATTTTATATAACTTTTATATATAATATCATATTGATAATGTTTTATGTTATAAACGTCTAAACCGCCTAAAAAATCGTCTAGGCCCCGATTAGGCGTTCTAGGCGCTAGGCACTGGGTCACCGCCCGCTTAGCGCCTAGCGTTTTCTTGAACACTGGGTATATATATACACACTTTACAAAATCACATAAGTCAAAGTTTAGAAAAAAAAGAGTTTCAAAAAAAAAGAGAGTCAAAGTTTAGAAAGATAGCTTCTCAATAAATAAATAAAAAAACTTTAGAACTCTGCAACTTGTTTTATCTCATATACAGTGTAGCTTTGTTGAAGGTAGAACTCTCGAAGAGCTGTGATACAATTAAAACATGTGATTGTTGTATACCGAAAAGCGTTTTAGAACGGAATCATACAACTAATTGTTTAGGATAGTGTTTTAGCTAGATACATGTTTCAACAATTTTGTATTGTTCTTACAATATCCAAGGAAAAATAAATTCCAGTTAAATCTATATAATTACTTAAATTTTGTAGGTCCAGTGAGAACCGAAACCACGAGTTAACCTATATTGCCCAATGGTTCGTCCAGCGAGATCAAAATTTAAAAAGCAGAAAAATATCTAATACGTCAATTTTTCTAAAATGTATAATAAGAAACTTTTAGAAAAATGGTAACAGCGTTTTTTGCTGTGCGGGGAAAGCGGTATTATAGTGCGGTACGGTTCAACTGCGGTACGTGTGGAAGAAAAGTATTTGCGGGACAAGTGCGGTTTGTACAAAATAAGCGGTGCGGAATAATGTTTGATTGGTGAAAAACTAATTTGCGGGATACATATATAATTTATAACTAAATAATAATATAATTATAAATTTAAATAGTTTATTTATTGTTATTGAAATGATATTTTCATCTACTTACTTATGAACTTTAAAAAACAAAATCTATTTAGAATTAATTAAGCTGATTTTATTCATTAAAATCGTGAAAATACATTTTAAATGTAAAAAATACATCATAAGTGAATTTTTTTTTCAAAAATGGCATGTTTAAAAACTAAAAAGTAATCATTTATGAAATTATTAACAACTTAAATTAAAAACATTTTTTTAGTAAAGGTATGTTATTTGTTAAAATATGTAGTTGTTATTAAACTCCTTTATTAATCTCAAATAAATAAATAAAATAACACTATTTTGCTTTTCAGCGCGGAATTTGAGAAAACCACTAGGTAATTTGAAGTTGTTGTAGGTACATGCGTTCCATAGTGTAATACCCTGTCTTAAAAAACGCAAACAATATTTTTTTTCTTTTTTTGGAAAACGTAAATTATATGGAACTCATATGATAGGTGACATAAAACGTTTTTGGAAAAACGTTCTTGAAATCCGCACTTTTCAATGTCTCCATTTAAGGCCTAAAAACGAAAACTACATTCAAGTTTTTGCAACAACTAGAAACCCAAAACCACATTAAACACTAATAGAGTGTATGTACAGTCATGTTTACAATTACAAACATGCCACAGTATACACGCTATTACCAAAAAACCAAAAACCTAAAGCATGTTTAAAAAATAAAATATTTTCGTCCAAACCTAAGCTTTTTTTTCCTTTTTTTCTTTCTTATAGGCGTATTGTGAAGATTAGGGGTGAGACCAATTATCCGGGATCCGGGATTCGATCCGGGATCCGCTCCGCTCCGAAAAACAGGATATCAAGGTGGGGCGGATCCGGATCCGGATCCGGATAATAGAAAAATTAAAGCCGGATATCCGGATCCGGGATATTTTATATTATAATAATATTTTTTAATATTTTATTACTATTATTTAAATTTTATTAATATTTTTTTAATATTTTATTACTATTATTTAAATTTTATTAATAATTTTTATTATCTTTTATATAATAATAATACTTTTAATAATATTTTTAATTATTTGTTTTAAATATTTTTCTTTAATTTTATATTAATAAAAAAGAATTTATATAAAAAAAACCGGATCCGGATATCCGCCGGGTATCCGGTTATTTTTACGGATATCCTAAATCCGGATATCCGGGTGGAGCGGATCCGGATCCAGATAATGAAAAGACGGATCCGAATACCTTAAAAAAGCCGGATATCCGGATCCGGCCCACCCCTAGTGAAAGATATATCAAATTGCCTTTGTTATGAAAAAATTAATATTACAAACAAAAATTTACTTTAACCTAAAAGAAAAGAAAAAGTAAAAATAAATAATCTCTTCCAACTGGAAACAAGAGCAGTTTAATTAATCTATTCTTTATTTTACCGCGGATTCGAACTCAAAACCTAATAAGCGAAATAATCATTGATTTGTATCATTTTAGTTAAATATACTTTGGATTTTATGTGCTTGGTCATTTTGTAGCTCAGACCACACTATAAATACCCTTCTCATGCCAACACCATTTAATACCCATCCAACCCAAAAGCATACAATACAATATGTCTACTCTTGTTTTATTCCTCCAACTTTTTTCCATCGTCCCATTAGCACTTGGGTTAAACCACCCAAACTGTGACCTCACCAAGAATCAAGACCAAGGCTCTACCCTAAGAATCTTCCACATAGACAGCCCTTGCTCCCCCTTCAAATCACCATCCCCACTCTCATGGGAAGCGCGTGTGCTCCAGACGCTGGCTCAAGACCAGGCCCGTCTCCAGTACTTGAGCAGCCTTGTCGCCGGGAGATCTGTAGTCCCCATTGCCTCAGGGCGTCAAATGTTGCAAAGCACTACATACATTGTCAAGGTTTTGATCGGAACTCCGGCTCAGCCACTGCTCCTAGCCATGGACACGAGCAGTGACGTGGCTTGGATTCCGTGCTCCGGCTGCGTTGGCTGTCCTTCTAACACCGCCTTTTCTCCCGCCAAGTCCACCTCCTTCAAGAACGTTAGTTGCAGCGCTCCTCAGTGTAAGCAGGTATATAATTTTGTACTTACACACCTACCCTACGTATATAATAAATATGTTTTTGGAATGTTTTTTGATTAATTTATTTTATTCTAACGCTTACACTCTTCATCATAGCTTCTTCATTAATGAACCAGTCGTATTTAAAAAAGTATTTAGCTTATGTATGGCACCATACTATATTGTAGTCAAATTTTAATATTAGTAACCTGCGATTTGTTTTCTTCATCTTAAAAATGTGAGCATGATAATGTTATTGCGGCCCCAAGTGAACATTTATAATTTATTGACACAGTAGCAGATCTAGAATTTATTTGGTTAATAAAAAAAGGACAGTCTCTATTTTATTACGTGAAAAAAGTTTTTCACAGAGAGTGGGTTCCACGTGGTTATAATTGATAATTCCACCCACATTCAAAAACAAAACGTTCACGGGATTACAGAACAACTAAACACTCGACCGACACATAGACACTGTACTGCATTAACAACAATTCACGTGAACACTTGCTTCAGGTACCAAACCCCGCGTGTGGAGCACGCGCCTGCTCATTCAACCTCACTTATGGAAGCTCCTCCATTGCGGCTAACCTCTCTCAAGACACCATCCGCCTCGCCGCCGACCCGATCAAAGCCTTTACCTTCGGATGCGTCAACAAAGTCGCCGGTGGAGGAACCATCCCACCACCACAAGGCTTGTTGGGCTTGGGACGAGGCCCACTTTCCCTCATGTCACAGGCTCAGTCCGTTTACAAGTCCACTTTCTCTTACTGTTTGCCAAGTTTCAGGTCTCTAACCTTCTCTGGTTCGCTGAGACTCGGCCCTACCTCCCAGCCTCAGCGCGTGAAGTACACTCAACTTCTCAGAAACCCTAGAAGGTCTTCTTTGTATTACGTCAACCTCGTTGCGATCCGCGTTGGTCGGAAAGTCGTCGATTTACCGCCGGCAGCTATTGCCTTTAATCCTTCCACCGGCGCTGGAACCATCTTTGACTCCGGTATTTACTCTTATCCGGTTTGGTATCGGTTAGGTTTAGTTTTCTGTTTCAATTGGTATAATTTCGCATTGGTTTAGACTAAATAATTAGTGAATATTATAAATATATAACAAAATCTAAAATTAAATCTTAATTGATTAACTTAGGTTAAGTTCAGTTAATGTGTTTAATCTTAGTTATTAAATAACACATTTATTTGCGTTTTGGTTTATTTCGGTTTGGTTATAGTTTACAATTAATAACCATTTGATGTGCAGGGACTGTGTACACGCGGCTGGCTAAACCGGTATACGAGGCAGTGAGGAACGAGTTCAGGAAGCGCGTGAAGCCACCCACCGCCGTGGTGACGTCACTCGGGGGTTTCGACACGTGTTACTCAGGGCAAGTCAAGGTGCCGACGATAACATTCATGTTCAAGGGAGTGAACATGACGATGCCGGCTGATAACCTGATGTTACATAGCACCGCCGGAAGCACGTCGTGCCTCGCCATGGCCTCAGCGCCGGAAAACGTAAACTCTGTTGTCAATGTGATCGCAAGCATGCAGCAGCAGAACCACCGTGTCCTTATCGACGTTCCCAATGGACGGCTCGGTTTGGCACGTGAACGATGCTCTTAGAAAGATGAATGAGACAATAAGAGCCTACTCATATTTATGCAGAGACTTGTTTGTTTGTGTTCTTTGTGTGTTTCATTTTTGTCTTTTCTCGTGTCGTTTGCTTCACCAGTCTTAGAGGGCGGTGGTGTTTAGCATTTGTGCTATCAAGTCATTTTTATGTTTTTTATTGTTCTTGAATTCTCTAGAGATTTGGATCTAAAACTAATCAAATAATGAAACTATATAATATTTGCTCCTTACTGTATGCAACTATATTATAAATTAAAATGTTATATCATTTGAAATACATAAAATTGAGTATGATATTAGCGCAATGATCTAATTAAATTTCAAGGATATTCTCTTCATTGTCACTAAAAAAAAATGTTATTCATATGCAAATGTATGCAAGTACTTTAGAATTCATCTGGTTTACTAGAGCTATATTTTCTTAAGTACAATTAAAGTACTTGTAGGAAAATGATATCTTCTATATCATTTTAAATATATATATCTATATTCTGTATCGTATATCAATAATATCATAAATCCACAAAACGCTTGTTTCGACTTATTTTATATTTTGTCTTATTTTATATATGTTGTGTTTAATTGTTTATTGACAATCGATGTTCATCAATTGGCCCCTCAGAAATAGCGCGCCTAGTGGCTGTTTCAGCTCATAGTTTTCAAAAGGAATCCACTTTAAAGCTTGTATAGGGTTGTCCTGGCAATATGTATAAGACAATAAATTTTAGCAACTAATAGAAAAAGAAAATTGATAAAAAGTATGATTACAAGAAAAATATATTTTGAGTTTCAAACGAGCAATGTCGAAAGTGAAAACCAAAAGAGAAGGCTACCGGCAACGCCAATTGCTCAAGAGATCAAATTTCATAAATAAAATTGATCATGCGAAAGTGAACAGAGACACAATATTCTTCGGTTTAAAACTTAAAATGTTATAATTAATCTTTTGCTAAGAAAACTTCCAACAATCCATAAGGCCATCTCCAACGGCAAGAGTGAGATTTTTCAAAAAAAAAAATTGATATTTTAATTGTAAAAATATATCTTAATTATTTTTAATACATTGTATCAGTAATAAAATGACAACTGGCCACTTTTTGTGAGAATCGTTTCTCCTATTTTCTCTTTCTCTCTCCAACTTTATTTCTTTTTAATATTATTTAAATCTCCAGAGAACTCTTCTCTCCCTGCGTTGGAGATGCTCTAATAGCTTTCTAAAAATTTGAAGCTCTCTAAGAGTCTAAATGGTAACATTAGTTTTGAGGAATTGTTGAGGAATTTTGGTAGAAAAAAAAAATGTTACATCATTTGAAGACTTGAGGAATTTTTGAGGAATTGGTGGAATTCTTGAGGAATTTTTTTTGTTAGGCTTTTTTTTTAAAATTAAAAATTAAGTTATACTTGAAACTACAAACAACTTGTACTATTGAATTTCAATATTTAATGGTTTTAAAAGATAATGTTTGATTAAATAATCAAATATATTAACTTTTGATTTCACCATAATCACCAAAATATATAATAATTATGTTTGATAACACTTTACATATATTAACTTAAAACTTTCAATAATTTTTGTAACCTTAAAAACTTTTAGACATTTTAGAGAATTTAATTAATTTAAAAACATAAATCAGATTCGTGTTTAGCTAACTTGATTATATTTCTAATATAGTAATTTTAAATTTCTTCAAAATTCAACCTTATTTTTTACAAGTTACAAGTTTTTCATAATATTTTGTTTTTAACTAATTTTATTGGAAATTTTTTTCCTAATTAAAATTTTTAGAAGTTTATTTGATTAATTAAATTTTCAAAAAATTCAGCCAGATTCAGCAGTTACCATTTGAACTTTAAATTATTCAGCCAGATTCCGCAAAAAATCACAAATAAATTCAGCTAGATTCAGCAATTCAGCCAGATTCAGCCGGATTCCTCGGTTACCATTTAGACTATAAATCACCGAGAAGGTTATAACTTATAACGTGAAAGAAGATAATAGTTTTTGCTAAAAACACATCATAATCTTGGTTAAACTTGAGTGTCATATCGATCATGTAACCACCTAAACAAAGTGCCACTCTGGTTCACTCAATTATGATCAGGACTGATTATGATGATATTTATTTTGTACACAATTCTTTTATTCCACACCGGGAAAGTGTGATTTGAACCCCACACATGCAGACATGCTTAGGGTACAATACAATGGATAGTGGCTAAGCACTAGCACACAAGGTCTTTGGTGTTGTTATGATTAAACTATGGCAAACTGAAATAATTCGTTAATGTCTTTTTAAGGGAAAATGAATTGAATAAAGGAATAAAAAGTGGAGGAATGGGAAAAATAAAGCCAGATGCGGAAAATCTCTAGAAACAGGAAAAAAAAACAGAGCAGAAAAAATCAAGGTGCACTAATGCATACAACATTTTCCAATAATTGTATTGAAAAACGAATTCTAGATTCGTGTTTGAGAAAATAGATATGAATGAAAACCGAATTTTACTCCGGTTTGATTTGAAAAAATTCCAATTTGGTTTGGTATTGAAATTAAGAATTTGTGGGTTTGGCAGTTACACGCGTAGGCTAGTGAAAAAGCCCACCACACACATCTTCTTCCGACTTCCTCCCCTCTTTTATCTTCTTCGCCTTGTCTGTTCTCTAAGAAGAAGTAAGAAGATAGAACAAACCCAAGAATCTTCTCGAATCTGATCAACCATGTCGAACGTCTTGCTATCCCCAAACGGCTGCGTTTTTGCATCGCCCAAACCTCTTGGCAGATTTCTGAATTCAAAGTCCGGCGGACGGAAACTTCTCTTCTCCGTCGTTAGAGCTTCTTCCGATGATGCTGATTGTAATGCCGAAGAATGTGCTCCCGAGAAGGAGGTACTCAATCCCATCTGTAGTTGTTTCATTCTCAGCTCAATTTGGTCTCTTTATCAAAACCATGATGATAACTTTGTTGTTGTTGCAATTCTTTTCAATTACTGAGAAAGATGGATTGGTTGATTAGTGAAACCTTGATGAAAGAGAATTGATGTTTATGAATTGAAGTGATTATAAAGTTGGAATTTTTTTAGGAATGGAAATGATGTTATTGAACAGGTAGGAACAGTGAGTATGGAATGGTTGGCTGGAGAGAAGACGAAAGTGGTGGGAACGTTTCCTCCTCGGAAGCCGCGTGGTTGGACTGGCTATGTTGAGAAAGATACTGCCGGTCAGACGAATGTTTACTCTATTGAGGTTGGTACTTCTTACATTCTCCATCTATCTATCCACTCATCGCGAAGCACTCCTGTTTGTAAGTCTCAGAGAGTTTGGAGGGATATTGGTTTTCAATTGACAGAGAAAGCTTCAAACTTCGCCTGAGGATTGGCTGTTTTGTTTCTGTGATAGGCATTGGAAATGTAGTGAATGCATAAGAACAACAAGAGATTAGGGGTCTTTGACCAGTTGCTTGTTTTGTGAGCCTTTTGGCTTTGGGACAAGTATGAGATCTCTTTAACAAATTTTCAATATACATTTGGCTCTTTCTTTGAGTTTGATCTTAGGTTTTTCATTGCAATCCTTGATTCAAGGATAATTAAGAAAGTTACGCTTCTCGATCTTACCAGTTTGGTGTTATATTTGGGTCTCGTTTGATATAAACTTTTTTGGTGTTTTTTCTTTGTGTTCGTTCCATTATTCTGTCATCGATCTCAACCTCCACCTCCAGGGAATATGCATTAGCTTGCAACAATGTGTCATGCAAATCCGCATCTTTTTGAGATGGGCTTCTTGATCTAATTCTATTGGCTTTTTCTTTATGGGAGTTTTTCTGAAGAATAGCTTTTCTTGTTACTTTTGCAGCCTGCAGTATATGTTGCAGAGAGCGCAATCAGCTCAGGTACTGCAGGATCATCTTCTGATGGGGCTGAGAACACAGCAGCAATCGTAGCAGGCATTGCCCTTATCGCACTCGCTGCAGCTTCCTCTATACTCCTCCAAGTTGGGAAAGATGCACCGACTCGACCAAAAGCAGTGGATTACAGTGGACCCTCTCTTAGCTACTACATCAACAAGTTCAAGCCTTCAGAAACTGTTCAAGCTTCTACCCCCTCCATCACAGAAGCTCCGCCGGTGGCCGAGCAAGAAACCTCAGTGCCTGAAACTCCACCGGTGGCTCAGCAAGAAACCTCACTGCCGGAAACTATGGCCAGTGAGGCTCAGCCAGAGGCGTCCTCTGTTCCAACAACAAGTAGTACCTCTTAGGAGGTTAGCCTAGGATTATATCTTGTGTAAAGATGAGATGAAGCATAGACCAATATTATGCATTCTGTTAATATTCGGATATATCTACCTATATGTATACACTCTTCTCTATGAGTTGATGAATTAATCAAATTTCAAATCCTATTCATTTACATTTTTTTTTTTTTTTTTTTAAAAATTCATTTACATATAAACCAGATTCCTATGTTTTGTCACTGTAAATTGTCTTGCTCGTTCTTGACCTGTGGAAATTACGGACTCACTTCTTGCTCTCACAACCTCACTCGAAAACAGAACACACTCTGTTTCCTATTAAGCTAAAATAAGAACAATTTATGACATATATCCATCTCTCTCTTATTCCAACAATATCATCATTAGCTCTCATGTAGCTTTGGCGGGTTCACGTGTCTTTCCAGTCAAAAGCAAGCTTCATCTTACAGACAGCTTGAGGAGTACTACTAAGGAAAGTAGACTTACATTCGCGGTGGATTAAGCTCGAATCTTTAAGGTTTTGAACCTTCTAAGTGTGTCAGAGTCTTCTCTCTTTTTTTAACCTTTTGATGGGTTAAATTTAGTAATTTACGATACAACGAGTTGAGTAAAAAAACAACACTAGGCGTTTCAAATCACTTCTTTCGAAACAAAAATAAAAGTTCATATGGTTATTTCAGGTGACAATTTTTATAACTTAACTATTTTCTTTGTTTAAATTCATAATTATCCCACATGATGACTTGGATTGGATACATACTCTTGATATGAAGTATCTACGAAATATTCAATTAAATATAAATGTTTCAACCGATATATTATTAGTTGGTAGAACAAGTCCTGAAATATTTAAGGCCACAAATGAGTTTTGTGAGAAAAAAATTAAAAACCATTGATGGAAGTTTGTGTTGGTCGCTACCGGGTTTTTCATGTTTTTTTATCGTTCCAATTTTATCGGATATCTCTTAAAGAATGGGTTTTTACCATCAGTTTTAAAAAAAAATTAATAAAAAAACGACAGCTAAAATATATAAATTTATCTAGAACCGCAAATTTGTGCTTAACCCATGTGCTCTTAAGGCCGGCTCTTATATCTGGTTATACACTAAAAATAAAACTTAATTATCCAATCTAATTTATTTAAATTTATGGATAAAGGTCCGAAACATTTTTGTCCTAAATTTTTTTGGTGGAGGATAAAAAGATTAGTGTTCACTATTCAGCTTACGAATATCCATCATCAATCCTTACTCGATAAACACGAGGAAAAAAATTACGGCACGCATCTGTGAATAAGAGACTTGGTTTTAGAGTCGTAATCAAAGACATGTAGGCTTCGTCACTAAAGTAGGCCTCAAGTCACTCAATTGTTTTTATATATTTGTCGACATTTTTTTTTTATTTTTTTGGCTGCTTTGTCGACTTATTATAATAAGGAGAAAAAAAAAAGGATCAATAAAGCTACGTAGGCTCTACTTGCCTAATGCATCAAAGCATCCGATATAAAAGATTGCGCCTTTAACGGCATGTCGATAGTTATCTGTTCCATATTGTTAAATGATTCGGATCTAGTTCATGGCCTATTAGAAGTGCAAGGTGCTTTAGCGTAGGGGCGGATGTAGCCAAGTGGATTAAGGCAGTGGATTGTGAATTCACCATCGCGGGTGGACTTGCTTAAGAATAAGAAAGAGCAATCTCATGTAACTTTGGAGAGCACAATACGATGAAAGTTGTAAGCTGTGTTGACAAAGAAAAAATATTGTTGATTACTTACTGTTTTTATTTTTGTTATTGTTTTTGTTATATGAGCAAACATTATTTAACGGCATGTCGATATGCATGTCAAACATCAGATTTCATTTATATATATATTGAAAAGAACAGAAATATTACGTAAGCAAAGTCTAAAACCATTACATCATGTAGCGGTATAAAGTATAAACTAACAGGCTAGAACAAAATCAAAATCAGAATTTACCGTAAGACTATGTTTTACAATATAAATTAATTTACCCTCGACAGATTCTATTTACAAAATTTCTATCATTTAGTCCCACACTGAAACATTTATATATTTTCAGACTCTATAGTTATATTTTTAAACATAGATCTTAGTTATAACTAATCGTTAAATTTTAGAGTATAGACCTTACGTACAATTTACAAGGATATATATGAATAAGGACAATCATATCCGAATAAGATTAATATTTTGGATACTATTGATAAAGTATCAGGTTGGAAAATTATTGTTAAGTAAGAGAGTACAATATTAAATTATTTTTTGAAATTGCAATATTCGTTTCGAGGATGCAATATGAAATATTTAAATCAAATGTATATCAAAAAATGAAAAATTAGTTTTAATTGTATGAGTTGTAGCCTTGTAGGAGAGCAGGAGAAGACTAATTTACTATGCTATGGTCCCCAAATTGAATATATTATCAAAAGCCTCATAATTGTTTTGTAATCCAAAGTAACTATATGTGTAAAGTTGAACCAAGTGTTCTTGGTCTAGTGGTTGCCACTTATGCAGGAGTTGCCCTGTTGGTTTAGGTCAGAGATCGATTCTCCGCAAGCGCGCAATTGTTAGATCTCCACTTGGCCACATATCCCATTTGCATACCCGGAGAGAGAGTCTATCTGTGGGCTGCACCTCCCCCAGGGGATTAGTCTGGGCCCCTCCATAGGTCTGGGATTCCCCTGAGTTATCAAAAAAAAAAAAAAAAAAACTATATGTGATGAAATTATTTGACCAAAATGATTTGCCACGGAGATTAATTTAATTGTTCAAAATAAATATAAAATATGAATTAAATTAATTTATAGTAAGGAATTAACTTAAATTATTTGAGTATATAAGCATGAAGAATTATCATGTCAAATATACGATTAGTTTATGGTCTGCTCTTAAACCTTTTATATAATATGAAAATCATGTACAATAATTGGAAAAGGTTTTAATCAATTTGTTTTGGGTACATATCTAAACTATTTTCGTTCAATATATTTATGTATTTATAAATAGTGTCCTAAGTTAGTTGTGGGTACTCACCTAAGTTAGCTAACTAGTAAATAATATCTGGAAGTCCATGGGCGATGTGTGGAAGTGAACGTGGTACCACATGGGTATGGACTATGGAGCATGGTTCTTTCATTAGTATGTGACAATATGGGAGTTTGCTTTGAAGCCTACAAGAGATGATTCGTCTTGAAGAATCTTCAACTCCAAAGATAAAGATTTAAGAAAAAAGGAGTAACAAAGACAGGTCAGTGCTCGTATCCAAACAAACTTCTTCACAAGTGAAATCAACCATCAAAGACATCAACTTTTTGTCTTCTTCTAGTTCTAGTGCATGTTCGTAACTTTTTTTTTTTTAGAGAAATGTTTGTAACTTTTTTACTTTCTTAATGTCATTAGATATTATATGACAACCATGTAAATACCGCTAAAACTGCACTTATGAATCTATAGACCATGAAATCACCCTATTTCTAAAAAATATACTACATATTTAATTACGCAAAATGAATCAAATAAGCTCTTGATAACTAAATATTCTTTCAATATTGTATTATCGTGCATGCAATTAGCTAATAATAAGTTTTCAAATCTTCACAAAACATCTCAGCTAAAGTTCCCTTAAATTCATGAACTCAATAATAGATCCAAAACTGCCGTAAACTTCACCAGGGAATTATTAAATAAGTAATATAAATTATCTCAATAAAATCATCATTGACACATAGAAAGGTATTGAAAATTAAAAAGGATATCTAAACACAAATTTTCCATAAATTGTGAAAAATATTTGAGTCTATTTAGTCAAAATTCTGAAAACTGTCTGTATTTAACATACACTGATTAAAAAACAAGACTCAAATAATATCCCACGGGTGATTATAGTCTCTTCTAAGCTTTTCATTTTGATCTGGTTAAATTACCTACAAAAATAAATCCATAAAACTATTTTGCGATTAAAGTAAACACTATTTTTTTTTTTTGTGCAAACAAATTAAACACTCATATATGTAAATAATACTAATATCTTTTGGTATTTGTCCATGGTGCTTTCACGTACTCCCCAATCGCTAAATTTAAAACCAAACCAACGGAAAATGAAAAGCTTCATAAAAAGAAGGGGCTTTTGCAAAAATGCCCCCTTTTCAATATCACTTTTTAAAAATGTCCATTCTTTAAAATCTTATAAAAAATGCTTTTAAAAATATAAGATTTACCCAAATATGTATGTAACATTATTAAAACATACACAAACTACATTTCTATGTATCTAAAATCTTATAAATACTTTATAAATACCTTATAAATGCATTTTAAATACCTTTAAAAACCTTTAAAATATCTTGTAAAACTTTTGAAAAACCTTAAAAATCCTTTAAAATAACTTGTAAAACCTTTAAAAACACCTTATAAAACCTTATAAATACTTGGATCGAGTCTTCAAGTAGTAGTTACAATCCATAAGTACCTTATAAACCTAATAAAACTTTATAAAAATTTCAGATTTAAAATGAGCATTTTGAAAATGAACATATAAAAGGGACATTTTTGAAAAGGAACACACCAAAAGAGGTATTTTTAACAATTTCCCTAAAAAGAATAACTTCTTCTTCTTTTCTTTTATTTATCGAAAATAACTTTCCATATGTCGATTACCCACAAACATATAAATATCAAACTGACAGGATAAATACAAAATTGAATCAAATCGTTATATATAAACCATATCTTATATTCATCGTTATAGACAAATCTTGAAAAGCATATAATATAATTTAATAACTAGTGCGTCCCTTTGTCAACAAAAACAAAAACTGTAGATATTTATTTTATTTGTATTGTAGCTATAATTGGTCCGTCCGTTTCAGGGGGTTGGCTATATCTTTGTCCAAATATGGATAATTCAGTCGACAACTTAGGCGTGATGGACATAGTCACAGAGGTTGATAACTAGAATAAAACAAATGAACTTAATCGTAGGTCCTCGTTATAACACGTATCGTGGTTCTGAATTCATCGTTTTTTTTTAATATATCCGATCGGCTGATCCGATCAGCTCCGGGAGAAACGCACCGAAGTGCTACTATGTGGACTCGTCGCCAATACCTAGGTGTTGGATTACCACACTGCCTAACCCCGAGTTTGGAATGCTTTCCGACTAATGTCTGGGGGTATCCAGTTAGCCTAATCCCGGATACCATGTGAATTGCTTGGACCAAAGCCCAAGTCCAGACTTCCCGCACAAATGTGATTTTTTTTTCAGGATGGATCGAACCTGGGTTAGTTCCTTCCAACTTTTCCCCAATTTTCCCTAACCACTAGACCACAGCCGTGTGGGCAAGAAATGGACACATACGAGCAATATAATGCTATCGCTTGGGTTGAAGTTTAATCACCAGCTTGTCGGAGCCCTGCCGATCGAAAATAAAATGAAGAATGTGCACGGTACAAAATATAAGATAAGACAACCCGAAAGAAAAAAAGGAAAAAAAAACTGAGAAAATGTAAAAAGTGCAACAATAGTAAAACTTGTATTTGGATGTTGATATTAGGAGTAGACAAAAACCAACCTGGAATAAGTTAATCGAAACAAACTCGAAATTTATTAATAAACTGTGGTTTGGTTATTTTAAAATATAAGAATATATCTAAAACCTAAACCAAAACCGTTACTTTGTGTTTTTGTAACCTAACCACGCCGGAAAGAATAAACTGAAATTCATTAAAAATTTCTATCATTAATCATATGTATTAGCATAGATATAATATATACTAGTATTTTTGCAACATTTTGGTGATGGGTGGGTAAAAATGTTTTCGGATATATCGGATACCCGATCCGTTTTTAAAATCCTTCACAAAAAATTTGTTGGGTCGGGTTATATTTAACCCAACTCATACACCGGATATTCTATATTTAATAATTTAGATATTTAGAGATTTGATTAAGATTTATAATTATGATTCTCCTATCATCTTTGTTTGATTTGTTTTTAACTGTTTTGAATCATCATATAATACATAAAGTAAAAAAAAATTAATTTTTTTTCTGCATATACTGTGATTCGAAATTTTGAAAACGGACATATATTATCTAATTGACGAAAATGTGTGTTAAACGTTCTACATCGATTAAAATATTTAGACAATGATTCAGAATCATATCATAAATAAGAACATTAATAAAATAAATGAGTTTTTTTGCCGGACGGGTTTGGCGGGACGGGTTTTTGAATCAACAATAATAAAAGATTAAAATATCATTAATCCGTCGCTTCAATACGGATTAAATCTTTTTTTTTAATACCACTAATTTTAGACATATTAAATCAGTCTCATTTAGAAAAGATTGTATAAAACCAAAAATTGTCATGTGGTATAATGTCCCGTGGTCTTAGAGGATGATATGATTTGTAAACTTTTATATATAATAAATAATCATTAAATTTTAAAATAAAAATAAATCACGGGACGGGTTAAGAAATTACTGAACAGGTTATATTTCGGAAAAGATTTATAAGGCGGACGAATTTGAATCAATATTTATATACCGCTTTAATACGGGTTGAATCCTCCGTTTATTAATAATTGTCTCATGGACTCGTGGTATACCATTACTTAATAACAATTATAAACTATAATATAAATAAATATGTTATAAGGAGATACAATTTACAAAATATTTTTATACTAACTTTAAAATTAAATCATCCCGCGGTGTACCGCGGGTTAAAATCTAGTATAATAAGTAATTATAATGCTAAATAAATCATTTCAAAGTTATTTTTACAATAAACCAAACCACGAAAAAAAAGCCAAACCGAACCAAACTAAAATTGCGTCGATCCGAATCGAAACCTCAAATTGTATCGACCACTGCTAGTTGTATAGCATTAAATTGTTTTTTTTTTAAAAAGAAAATCACTCAATTTCTATTTATTTTACTGGGGTCTTTATCGATTGATATTTTATTCAATTTCAGTAAAGCTGGAAATCCAAGTTATTTTGTTGTTGCATATAGACAATGAAGCAACGTCCACATTTCAGTTTGTCGATCGTTATTTTTTTCCGATAATGATCATCGTGTTTGCCACTATGTTCGTGTTTATAGTAAAGTATTTTAGTTTTTTTTTGAAAAAAAAAGTAAAGTATTTTAGTTGATGGCTGTAACTAAATGTATTAAAAATATGTATATAACTATATATATATATATATAGTATCTTGTGTTAGTTTTATTGGTGTCATTATTCGGGTTCAAACCTACATATTATATACTATTCTTTTCGTCCCATAAATATAGATTTTTTTAGAAATTTCACATTTTTAAAAAAATAATATATAATGACAATTTTAACCATTTAATCTTTTAACATATTTTAAAGAGTATAATATTTATTGTTTAATAAGAATAAAATAGATAAACTGTTTTAAATTTGACATTGGAAACACAAAACTTCTATCTTTGTGGGACAAATTTTTTTTCTAAAAAATTTATCTTTGTGAAACGGAGGAAATAGTATATTGGTGACACAAATTAATAAATACTTTGACAGGATATGTATTATTTTTATATGAGTAAGACCATAGATCTAATCACATGTTTTATACTAGTTTTTTTTAGTTAGGTATATACATTTGATAAAGTTAGAAGATGAAAATTTTTTGGAATAAAAGGATGCGTATTAGGGACCAAAAACATGTGACTTTCCTAATTTAAAGAAAGAGTTCTGCCGACAATTTATGGACCAAAAACAAATGAAAATGCAGCAAACCAAACCTTGCACTAAGTCCAAGGAGAATACAGTCAAATTTCTATAAATTAATATTGTTAGGACCATAATATTTTATTAATTTATAAAGATATTAATTTATAAAGAGATATGTTTTAATTCGTTAAATTTTAGAAAGAAATGAATTTATAAATTTTGTATTTTTAGACTTGAAATTTTAATAGTTTGAAAAAAAAAATTTCGAAAATAAAATAGATAATATAATTACAAAGACTAAATGAATTTATTTATACAAAATACGTAAATTCAAATTTATGATTAGTGACTTCAATTATCGTATTTTAATAGCTATAAGACTATCTTAATGAAAATGATGCATATTCAAATCTTGACTATTTTATGATACAGCTATATAGTACTCTCTCCGTTTCAAAATACAAGACGTTTGAGAAAAACTTTTTTGTTTCAAAATATAAGTCGTTTTCAAGTACAAATTATATATCACTTTAATATTTTATGATTATTTTTATTATGCAGTTTTTTTATGATTGACTGAACTTTTAAAACGTCTTATATTTTGAAACAGAAGGAGTATACTACACCACTATAATTTAAAACCACGATAGACTAATTTTTTTATTCAATAAAAGTTAGACATATGTTCTAACAAAAATTAGTTTAAGAAAAAAAAAAACAACTAAAAACATACCTTAGTATAACAACTTATATATATATATATATAAATAAATTTACATGATTATTAATTTAGAATATTAATGGGATCATATATTTATATAGAGATTTTTAAAAAATTATTATCATATTATTTTATCAAATTTTGTATTGGTCCGACTTAGAACCGAACGATTTTATTAATTTATACTTCCTCCGTTTCGTTTTAGTTGTCGTTTAAGGTTTTTTCACACAAATTAAGAAAAATATTAAATTTTCTGTTTTACTCTTTATTAATATATTTTATAAAAAAATTCATTTGCCAAAATATTAAAACAGTAGGGATAAAACTGAAATTTTCACCAAACATTTGCATTGAAAACCTAAAACGACAACTATTATGAAACAAAATTTAAATCCTAAAACGACAACTAAATTGAAACGGAGGGAATAGTATTTATTAATTTATGGAGTATTAGTTTATAAAGGTTCTACTGTAGTACGTAACTACGTATAGACAAAGACACGTCATTATTATTAAAAATTTAAACGGAAGAAAAAAAAAAAGATTTCGAGTATCAGTAAAAAGATGGAGTGGGCCAACTAATATTCGCACACGCCGTTTATTTCCCACGTGGGCGATAACAACTGAGGCTGCTCTCTTCTCTTCACAAAAGCATCTCATGCATTTTGCGCTATTATATAAACACCCAACTTCATCACGAAATCTTACACAAACACACAAAGATTCCATTACAATAAACATTTTCCATATATATCTGTAAGACTATTAACAAAAAAAACAATGGCGACCTCAAGCATGAAGAGCATTCCAATGGCGATCCCAAGTTTCTCCATGTGTCACAAGCTCGAGCTCCTCAAGGAAGGCAAAAGCAAAGGCCAAGAAGATCATGAAGGGCTAAGCTACGAGTTCCAAGAGATGTTGGACTCTCTTCCTAAGGAGAGAGGCTGGAGAACTCGTTACCTTTATCTATTCCAAGGGTTTTGGTGCCAAGCTAAGGAGATTCAAGCTATCATGTGTTTCCAAAAACATTTCCAGTCCCTTCCAAACGACGTCGTCCTCGCCACCATACCTAAATCTGGTACAACCTGGTTAAAAGCTTTAACTTTCACTATCCTTAACCGTCACCGGTTTGATCCGGTTTCCTTAAGTTCCGACCACCCTCTTCTCACATCCAACCCTCATGACCTCGTACCTTTCTTCGAGTACAAGCTTTACGCCAACGGAGATGTTCCCAAACTCTCGAGTCTAGCCAGTCCAAGAACATTCGCAACCCACATACCGTTCGGTTCCCTTATGGATTCGATCGAGAAACCCGGTGTGAAGGTCGTGTACTTATGCCGGAACCCGTTTGACACATTCATATCCTCGTGGCATTACATCAACAACATAAAATCTGAGTCAGTGAGTCCAGTCTTGCTCGACGAAGCTTTTGATCTGTATTGCCGGGGAGTGATCGGGTTTGGCCCGTTTTGGGAACACATGTTGGGATACTGGAGAGAGAGCTTGAAAAGGCCAGAGAAAGTCTTATTTTTAAAGTACGAGGATCTCAAAGAAGACACTGAGACCAACTTGAAGAAGCTTGCAAGTTTCTTAGGACTTCCTTTCACCGAAGAAGAGGAACGAAAGGGAGTTGTGAAGGCTATTGCTGATCTGTGTAGCTTCGAGAATCTGAAGAAGTTGGAGGTGAACAAGTCAAACAAATCGATCAAAAACTTTGAGAATCGATTCTTGTTTAGGAAAGGAGAAGTGAGTGATTGGGTTAACTATTTGTCGCCTTCACATGTGGAAAGATTGTCAGCCTTAGTGGATGACAAGTTAGGTGGATCTGGTCTCACTTTCAGGTTGAGCTAAAATATAAGGCCACGTGCCCACATTTGTACTCTTGTTTTGAGAGCCTATAAGTTAAGTTGAAGGCAGTTGTATTGTTGTTACAGATAGACAATGAAGCAACGTAACGTCCACAATTAAGGTAATTTGTCGTTTCTATTTTTGTCAACATCGAAGTTTGTCGAGTTTCTATTTTATTAAATATCGTTTGTGTTTGCCATTATGTTCTATTTGTACTATCGTTCATGTGTGTAGCTAAATGTATTGACAAATTAAATATGTATAAATGTATACAATATTTCATAGATATTTCTATATTAATTTGTAAGATGATGGATCATAGATCATTAGATCTAACCACATGTTCTTACTTTTTATAGTTCTTTTGTTTTCTTTTAAGTTTGAGAACAATACAATGCTAACTAAACTTACATATTGGCTCCGATTGCTAATTGCATAATAGCGGAATAGCGTTTTCGAATGCGATTAGATAAAAAAATTTACCAATTATGAAAGAAAATCTGCATAATCGCATTAAAAACACAAAAACGCATTATTTACGTTTTTGCCTAAGAATAGAACTAAAATCTCATTATTAAAAAGAAAAGAAAAAAGATTTCGATTAAGTGAGGCACTGAGGCTGCTCTCTTCTCTTCACAACGTATCATCTCATGCATTTTGCGCTATTATATAAACATAAACACCCAGTATAAAGAGCATTCCAATGGCGATCCCAAGTTTCTTTATGCCTATACGTTAAGTTAGCTTAAGGCAGTTGTATTATTAAGTTAATTTGTCGTTTTTTTTCTTTTCTATTTTAATAAATATCGTCTGTGTTTGCCATTATGTTTTTAGTTGTACTAGAGTATTATTATTGTTCATATGTGTGTAGCTAAATGTATTGACAAATATGTAAAAATGTGATACTTCATATGTTTATGTATTTCATAGATATTTTTCTAATAGTGAGATAATGGATTATGGATAGTTGGATCTAATCACATGTTTTTTTTTTTTTTTTTTTTTTTTTTTTTTTTACATCTTTGGATCGACAAGGCCCGATTCATAACCAATCCCTACTACGCAGGATAACGCGATTTAGTGGAGTCGAACTCCGGTGAGAAAGAGGGAGTCAAATGGACTTAACCTCTTGACTAAGGATCTAATCACATATTTTATTTTGTTTGATCAAAACAATATATATATATATATATATATATAGCATGTCGACATAAAAACCTATATAGCAAAATTTTCTTTGTTTCCCAATCTTATTATTCGTTTATAACCAATAGTTATGGTATGAAATCTATTACTCCATCTGTTTCAAAATATATAATGTTTTATTTGAAGTCACACATTTTAAGAAAATTTATTTTGCTCTCTTAAAACTATCATTTAATGTTTGGTTTTAAAAATTCAACGAATTAGAGAAAAGACTGCAGAATACAAATAGTCATAAAATATCAAATATATTTAAAATTGCATAGAAAGTTGCAAAACATCATATATTTTAAAACAAAATAAAAACTCTAAAACATCATATATTTTGAAACATAGGAAGTAATTAGCAAGCACACCACGATTGTGCAATAGTAGTAAATACGAGACTGAACCATAATGATTAATGTCAACATCATGTAACCGAGAGAATTGAAGACTTTAGCTATGGCGAAACGGAGTGGGTTGTTGAGCAATCAATAAACACGAGATTTAAACAAGGCAAATAAAAGACAAACAAGTAAATTACACAAATCTTAAACAAAACATTACTTAAACTTAAAAGCATTGGCATAGGGTTAATCACAAGGTGTTTAATTACTTTGGTGAGGTTTCAACTTAAAACTAAAACTAATCCGTTAAAGAGCACTCTAAAACTAAAACTTTACTAACTTAAACGTAACAATCAAAACAGTAGAGATATCCCTAGCAGCCACAGAAGATGTAGTGTATATATATATTTCATGTATACACACCCTGTTCTAAAAATCCCCGCCTAGCCCCGATTACTCTCCGCTTAATCGCTAGGCCCACCCTCTCCGCCTCGATTAATGACTAATCCCCTAAAAAATCAGTAACCCGATTATTCTCCGTCTAATCCGATTATTTCCCGCCTAATCCGATTATTTCCCGCCTAATCTTACATACCCCGATTATTTTTTAGATTACAAGTATAAAAAAAACATTTTATTTTTGTTATTCAATCATTTGAATTGGGAGTTTGTGATGTTTTACATAGCTTGTGTTCAAATTTTAATAAAAATCATAAAAATTTGTTTTTACTGTAATTTTGAAAACAATATTGAATTAATATATTTTAAAAATATTAAAATAACCCTAAAACTAATCCCCGATTAATCCCCGATTTTAATCCGATTTTCCGATTAATCGCTAGGCCCATGCCGAACGCCCGACTAGCGTCCAGCGATTTTTCAAACAAGGTATACACATCACCAACAAATCATTTCGAATAATTTACCAAATTAGGAAAAAAGAATACCAAAAAACAAAATCAACAGGAAAAAGAAAACAAATAGAAAAAAATGACGTAATGTAATGTTTCCCCTAAAGTGACGTCGTTTTATTAAACCCTCACGAAAAAGATACTAAGTTCAGGTCCACTGTTCCCATCAGGATTCATCATGTAATACGTCTCCGAGTCTCTTGACCCAATCACTCTCTCGAAATGTGCTCTCATGTACGTCAAATCTCCTTCTTGTTGTCCTCCTCCTCCTCCGCCGCTTTGCTCCGTCGCACCACTGCTCACCGGTAACACACCAGCTCCCATCGACACAGCATGAAGCATCTGCATCACCACAAGATCCTCTTCCGTTGGTTGTCTCTTCACACCATAACCAGATTTCTTACCGTTACAATACAATGCCCAAATCGGTTCGTCAATGATTTTGGTTTTCTCGCTCGGTTTCTTCTCGCATTCCAATGCGATTCTCACTAAACCGACTCCAAGATCTTGAAGAAGCTTTCCCGTGGGAATCGCTAGCTCCAGTAACAGAATCGGTAAAGAACGCGGATTTTCTTGAACCGCTAAATTCACACGTGTTTTGCGGTAACCAAACAGCGTTCCCGTGACACGTGTCCCTCCGTGAACGTGATTTTCGTGGAGTCGTCCTCCTCCTACGGGGAATTTACACATCGGAGACATGATCGGTAGAGATCGGAACACAGACCGGACGCGTCGGAAGAGTTTAGTCGATTTGGAGCCGGCTGTTTTGTTTCTTCCAGACGGTTGCTCCAACGTGATCTCCGGACGTACCGTCGCCGTTGATTTCTTCGACTTTGGACTCCCGAGAGGCGACATTGTCGTCGGAGTCAGCATTCTAGGCGTTAACGGTGGTGTTGCCATTACAAAAAACGTAAGTTTTCTCAAATTGTAATGTTTTAGTTTGTCAGAGTAAAGACCAAAATTTTATACAATCTTCAGAAACTAATGGAACGCACGTTTTGAGTTGGTCTTATATCTTTGTTTAATATGCAAACGTGAGTCAGAGACTTTCTAGTTAGATAAATTATATTTGAGTTCGCCGGTTCTAGTTTATGGTCGGGGGATATTTAATCTAAAATTGACTTGTGTTTTGTTTCGGTATTTGATGTTTATGTTTGCTGGTATAAGACTAATTCCTCTGCTTTGCTGTTTCCCACTTAGATATGTTTCTGTGTCTCCTCTTATATCATAAACTAACAAAAGCTATAAGGAATCTCTTTTTATACATTGTAACAACAGATTCTACATGGGGTAATGTACTTTCACAGGTTTCCCTCAGTAAATAACATATAGCATAAGAAATTGGAAATCCAGAAGCGAGAGTCAGACTCTAACGAAACAGATCAAAACTGAAGCCTGGAAAAGTCAAGCCAAGCACAGATACACACGCACATATGTATAATATATACACATAAGGGATTGTTTCGAAACTCTCTTATGCTTGAACAGAAGAAAGTCTCTTTGGTGGAGGCATATTTCTCATGTTGGATTCCATCTTGTTGAATGTGAGATTGGCGACGGCTCTGTCGATTGAGTTGGTTTCCAGTTCACTTTCCCTACTGAATAATCATAGATGGTGATGAGTCATTTTAACTCTTGAAGGTATGATTAATGAATAATGAAAAGAGCTTTATACCTGGTTCTATCCTCGAGGAACTCGTCCGGGTTGGAGTCTGACTTCTGTTGTGAGTTCTTTGCGAGTCGGTAAAAGGTATCGCGGAAGCATTTGCGGGTATCATCAGTCAACTATAATTAGAAGATTGTAAGTCTGTTACAAGACGGATCAAATCTCAAACAAGATTGTAGGTAAAAGATCAAAATCACCACACTCACCATTTCTGTAGCCCTTTGTAGATCCTGCAACACCACTTCTTCAGCAGATGCCTCCTCTATGTTCTCCTCACACAGATTCATAGGTGCGTCCTCCTCCTTAAACAAAAGAATGTTCCAAGATCATTAACATCTTTAATATTATCTCACTTGGAACAGCAAAAGTCAAACACACATCCGAGAGAAATCAAAACCAAACTAATCCCAAGAGTCTACTGAATTCCACAAGATTTGTCTAGCACTAGACTACAATCACTTGGTTGTTTTTTTCTACTATTTTCAGAAAATTTTGCAAGTATATCAAAAGAGACCATTCTTACCATAAGTTGCATGTCTTGACAAGTTTCCCAGTTGTAATGGAACATAGGGACTTCTCTGCCATCGGTAGTGTCGAGATACGCAGAGGAAGAACCGGAGCTGTTGTTAGTATCCGACTCCTTGAAAGAAAGAAAATTCTCATCCCCTGGAACATCCTCCAAAATGGAACTTCTTCAGTCAAAACCGGAAAACAAAAGAGAGAGAGAGACACAAAATATAAACATCGGAAAACTATAGAATCTTTTATGTGCTATATAGAGAGAGAGAGAGTGTGTAGGGCTATACAAGAACATGTCATCCATCTGCTGGATTTCATCAAAATCATGAAGCGAACGGTCAAAACAACCACTAGCCTTTAACCTCTTAGTTTCTTCTTCTACTTGTTCACTAGTTCCCATCTCCATCTGCATCTGACTGTATAATCCTCCACTGAAACCATTGTGAATGACATCATAATCAAAACATTTCTCAGCAGCTTCTGAGGAGTTCATGCTCCATCCGGTACCCCACATATCAGGAGAAGGGTATGAATCTGATGTCTCTTGATAGTTAGGCACAACAAGATCCTCTAAATTCCTCCTCGAATAACGATCCATGAATGATACTTTAACCTGCTACAAAAAGCTCACTCACTATATTCAGAAACCAACAGGAGAAAAACATTTGAAAATTTAAGAATAAAATAATAAAAAAAGAAGTCACCTTTAAGATCAGATCTAAATCCAAATCCAAAAGATTATGAGTCTATCTTCTTCTTCTGTAGATTTGTGAGTGCGAAGGAGGAGAGAGAGAGAAGACAAAGAAGCAAGTTGAAGAGAGGAAGTGGAGAGCGCGTGAGTTTGAACTTTAGTTAGTGGCTCAGAATTCACAAACGAGATTTGTGGCTTAGATTACTCCTCCATCTAAACTAACTATCTCATTGGTCCACGTGTTAAACATATCTTTTTCTGTGTGAGGTCGGCACTTGAATTAAAATTAATAAGACCATCTCCAATAGGGAGAAAATTGAGCTCTCATGAGAGGCTCTCTCATCAATTGTGAAAAAAAATAAATCAGAAAGGATTTATTTTGAGAGAGCTGTTTCTCTTAAGAGCACTTTTAGTGGTGAAGAGAGACGTACACGTGTCCGTTTCTCTGCAAATTTTCTTCACTTTCATCTTTGATCTCTCTGCAAATTTTCTTCACTTCCAGCTCTGACGATTGAGAGTAGAATTGAAGTTAATTTCCTTTAATCATTCCAAATTTTGCAAAATAATTTCTTCACTTTCATCTTTGATCTCTCTGGAAAAAAAACTAATTTGAGTTTTTGGAATTAACTTGTTAAATTTTTCTCTGAAGTGGAAACTGTCGGTTGGGCTTCTGATCGGTTTGTCTGATCGGTTTGCAACCGATCGGATCTCTTTAGTAGATTTTTGCAATTTTGCCGCTCGGTTTCGTCGATCGGTCTAAATAACAGGGGAGAGTCTTCATATGATGTGATCTTTCAAGAACTTCATTTGGAGCCATCATCTAGATCGAGTGTAGACCGATCTGTTTGTAACTTTTGATACGCTACTCCGTTTGATCAGGGCCGGCCCTGAACAATATGGGGCCCCAGCAAAAAAAATAAAATTTGTTGGGTGTTATAGATAAATTTTAAAAACTGATACCAAATCTTAAAATTCAAGAAAATGAGGCCTCTCTTTGCAACATAAAATATTTTTGGGGGCCTCATTTTGCAACAAAAAATTTGGGGGCCACAAACCATTGCCTCAAGTGGCTGTGCTCAGAGCCGGCACTGCGTTTGATACGAAATCACCACCATTAGAAAGCTGATTCAATTCTCTATAACTTTCATGAAGGGCTCCAAAGCTGAATCACAAGGTATAGGCTTCGTATGATGTGATCTTTGATCTTCATCTTTGATCTTCATCTTTGATCTTCATTTCTTGAAACACCTTTGTTTACACATTTTTGCACAATTTGCCTCCAATTTCCTTGAATAACTCCAAGTTTCACTCCAACACTCAGTTTGATGTTTCAGAATTCCTACAAGTTAAAGGAAACCAAACTTCACAAGTCGATTTATCGTATCGTTTTTTTTTTTTCAAATTTATTTTCAAATGTATGAAATTATTGTATCTTTAATATGTTATGAATTGTAATATTTTTCAGATTTATGAAATAAAATAATTAAAAAAATAATTTAATTTTTTCCTGAGAACCCCACAAAGAAAGCCTACCATTGAACTTTGCAAAATTAACAAAATCTCTCAATTCATAAATTTGAAAATTTTAATCTAAAAAAAATGGTGAGGGCTCTCACCATTGGAAATGCTCTAAATGGGTTCTCTCAAAACACAACTGGCCAACTTGTACATATTTGTAGTTCTTAAAAGTTGTCTGTTTACGGATAGACGACAAAAATACTTGGATTTACGGATATACCCTCCAGATTCAGGCAGTGGTTAGCGGCACAGGTTTGGTGACGACACGTCACATGTTCACTCGATTTGGTCCAGACACGTGGCCTGTAGGTATAGGGAGGTGATGACACGTGACAGTCTGTTTTGCGGTGGAGTGGGACTCATGTTCTCATGGTGATACAGTTGATAATGTTCCTCGCACTCTCTTAAGTACCCTTTGTCTTCTCATCAGAGTTAAATATTTGCTCCAAATGTATAGTTTTAAAACTTTGAAATTGGTTTAGGACCTTTATAGGCAAATCCAGCTGCCGACGAGCTTATAGGTAAAGTAGCTAATCCATTTTTGCTTGTTACTTCGTAGGGTTAATATATAGTCCAGTGGGCCTGAAAAATTTATATGGGCTTGACAAAAATATCCAGTTCGGTCCAAAATTCGAAAACATAAACAATGTGGAAAGATGTGTTGGCTAATAAGATGAAAATAAATCCTCCTTGTTCATATCATCAGGAATTTCAACTTGTAATATTAAAATCAGTAATAATTGAATAACATTAATATTTTCAGATTTCCAAATTAATTAGAATATTCAAATCTTCATTAGGAAATAAGATTTGGGAATACTAAAAAGCTAAATAAATAGTATCTAATTACTTAAATCAGTAATGAAAATTATACCTATATATATATATATATATTTTACTATGAGTGAAGTTGAGACTTCAAATTTGACAAATTCGGTGTTCTGGAATAACAAAAGAAGTCAAAGAAAGAAAATTAGGGAGATAACTAAAATAAAAGTTGAGACAAATCAGCTTCATTTTTATTTTTCCCAAATAATTAATATACACAGATAGATCTTTCAGCCCCGGCGCTTTCTCTAGATTTGCTCACACGACCTCGAAATTTCTGCTCCAAGTTCTCCAAAACAGTTCATTCCTCTACATTTCCCGATCATATCCATAATCAATCGTCTCTGAAATTCTCACTAAATCAATCCTTCCGTTGGATTAATTGTTGTGTTCGCGAGGAATCTGAAGAAATGGTTGGTTAGTTCAGTTAAACTCTACTTCTAAATTTTGCATTCAATGTAGTCTCTAGTTCTCGTCCTAGAAGTAGACTTGATTTATTGATTCACGGCTTTTGATTTCACAGGTTAATTGAAATCTGAGAACCCGTGTGACTATTATTGCAACTGGATCGACATGGAAGAGTATGTTACTTTCTTCTTCTTTTGATTTTTGGATACTGTACAATCTTCGTTTTGTTGCTTATGCATTTTGATCCATGTGCTGTTTTTTTTTTTTTTTTGTGTATAGAGAAAATGCTGTTGAGATTCTTCAGAGATATCGCCGGGATAGGCGGAAACTTTTGGATTTTATGTTGGCTGGTAGCTTGATCAAGAAAGTTATAATGCCTCCTGGGGCTGTGACTCTGGATGATGTTGATTTGGATCAAGTTAGTGTTGATTATGTCATTAACTGTGCTAAGAAAGGTGATACTTAGCTTGCTGCTTCTCTTTTCTTCTATTGTTTTCGTGATCGTTCTGTTTTTTCAGAGTAATAAGTGTGCATATTGTGTTAATTTAGGAGGAATGCTTGAACTTGCTGAAGCGATTCGGGACTATCATGATCACATTGGATTGCCTTATATGGTATGATTCTCACTTGTCTGTCTTTACTATACATTAACGTAAAGTTTCTTTAATCCAATTCGTTAGTGTTTTAGTCAATGATGCGTTAACTTATGTTGGTTGGTGTTCCTTCATGTTTCAAAGACTAGATTTTTCTCATTACTAAGAGAACCTTGCAACATTTTGAATGATTACGCAAGTTAAACAACTGCATTTTTGGATAATCCATTTGACATCTAATCACATTTTTATGCCTGTCACTGAGATCCTTCTCCTTCTCATTCCACTTGTATCAGCTATTTTCTAAATGATTTGGTCTTATGCATATTTCAGAATAGCGTCGGTACTGCTGATGAGTTCTTTTTGGCTACAAATCCTGAATCTTCTGGCTCACCTCCAAAAAGGGCGCCACCACCTATTCCTGTATTAATTTCCTCATCCTCTCCCATGGTTACAAATCCGGAGTGGTGTGAGTCACCAACTGTGCCATCATTGATGCGATCAGAATCTATTGATTCACCAAAAGCTCAAGAGCTGACTGTTGATGACATTGAAGATTTTGAAGACGATGATGATCTTGATGAAGTTGGTAATTTCAGAATCTCAAGGCGAACTGCGAATGATGCGGCTGATTTTGTGCCAAAACTGCCCTCCTTTGCGACTGGTAAAAGATTGGAAAATGCATATCTTTAAGAAGTAAATTTGATAAAGAAATACTAGTGTTACTGTTATTCCATTGGATAACCGTATTGAATTATTCAGATCATACATGCATTTGTAGACTTGGTAATTTATCATTTATGGACAGGGCGTTTTAGTTCGAGAAACAGAGGAGTATTTGTAAAATTATCATTACTTATACCATCCAGTAGCCAGAGCTAAATACGACTGGACCATAAGTAGTACACCCATGAAAAACCAAGAACCTTCTGATTTATTAAGAAAGTTGTAATGTATTTCTGTTTCAGGTATTACAGATGATGATCTCCGTGAAACCGCATTTGAAATCCTTTTGGCTTGCGCTGGAGCTTCAGGGTATACAGAATATTGACTTGCTTACTTTTACTTTTTCTGTTCAGTTGAGGTGTGCTTGTAATTTCAGTCAGAGTCTTACTGATATCATTTTTCTCTTTCATATGTTTCCAACATGTACTTTGTCATCGTATAGAGGTCTCATAGTACCATCAAAAGAGAAAAAGAAGGAGAAAAGCAGGTCTAGGCTGATTAAGAAGCTTGGTCGCAAAAGTGAGAGTGTTTCTCAGTCTCAGAGTTCATCAGGATTGGTTGCTCTTTTAGAAATGATGCGGGGTCAAATGGAGGTCACTCCCTCTCTCTCTCTCTCTCTCTCTCTCTCTTTCACTGTTACTTTCTTATCTCTACTGTTGAGGCATATATGGTTTGTCAGAGCATGGTTTTTACATGTTTATTACTCTACATTTTCCTGTAAAGTTGTTCTTATGGAAGTATCATGTTAAGATGCCCTTTAATTTTGTATGCCAAATGTCTCTGATTTATTGACTTTTTAGTATTCTCTTGATTCCTCAGTTTACTCTTTCCATTTGTCTATGTATTGTATTATGTTTTTGGCGCTGGTGCCTGCACTACCATATGAATCACAGATAACCTTCTATATGTGTATATGACAATCAATATTTTGGGCTCATACAGATTTCTGAGGCTATGGACATCAGAACAAGACAGGGGTTACTTAATGCCCTAGCGGGAAAAGTTGGCAAAAGAATGGACAGCCTCCTGGTCCCTTTAGAATTGCTATGTTGCGTGTCTCGTACCGAGTTCTCTGACAAGAAAGCGTACTTACGTTGGCAGAAAAGGCAGGTAAAAGACCACCTTTTCACATCTGGGTGTAATATTAACTGCTTTTTTCATTT